TGGGTCAACTTGGTCAGCTGGGTCCACTGGGTCCACTGGATCGACTGGATCAGCTGGATCAACTGGGTCATCAACTGGGTCCACTGGAGCTTTCCCTTCTGAACCTGCTTTTTCATTATCGTTGGGCCCAGCTTTTTGCTCTCCTGCCGAATTAACAGCGTCGGCTGAAGCTTTACCTTCTGAACCTGCTTTTTCATTATCGTTAGAGGCAGCTTGCTGCTTTGCAGCTAAATCATATATCGCTTCTGGTACCTCATTAGCTAATACAATACTATCTCTAATGTCAAGTCGATATTTCGAGCTATGCATTTTTGTTGGTAATACATTGTGTTCGTAGACTTTATAAGGAATTCCAGCGGCTGTTATAATTGCAGCAATATCGACTAATACCACTAAGGCAAGTTCTACCTTTTTCATGATTAAGAAATTAATGTTATAGATCTAAAGATACTATGTTGATACAAAACTTCAGAGAATTGTGAAAAATAAATGAAGAATAAGTTGCTATTTATCCTAGTTTGGATTTTAACAACATTAAATTTGCACCCATTGGTGGCTATTTTAAGATATTAGCCATGTAGTGAATTGACCCCACTTAGGATCTAAAGTCTACTTTGCTCTGCTTAAGGATAGCATATACTGGTAGAAGATCTATTAATATTCAATCCATATGACTTATTTTAAGATATTTACTAGGTAACATATTGTGTTCAAAGTTACGCTCTATTATCGTCTCACTGATACAATTTCTCCTCTTTTTTTTAACTCAAACTACTGGATATTCTCTGCTTGCAGCCTTTGATAAGTTATTTTAAAATATTCGCTAAAGTTAGTATATTTTTCTTCCTTCGTCTCTAAATTGTGAAGTGGTTTACTATTATATTTTGCAACCATTAACAGGTTATTTTAAGAAAATGCCAAGTAAGAAATTGTGTTGTGGAAAACACCCTTTAAAGTACGGTTTCAAAAAGCTTAAGCTAAAAAGTGATTTGAGCGTTAGAAATAGCATAAAAAGAAACGTTTTTTATAGATCATATGTATACAAAGGGAAAGTTTACGTAAGTGAAAGCATTACCAAGACATTTTGAATTGAATGTTATTATTTGCAGGTAACTCCATTGCCTTTGAGTAAATTTCAGTGCAGGGCAGATCTAACTGCCAATGGTAACAAACATATGTCAATCAGAAAAGGCATGTGGAGTATGAATTAATAATAGAATTCTAATATTAATAGAGGACGGGATCAATATATGCAACCAAGGTCAGGCTACATACTTAAGCCCACTGTAGAGAAGTCAACAATTCAAAAAATAGACAACTAAAACAAGTGTGTAAAAAGAAATAGACTATTGGAATATGTGAGTGAGAACATCAAGGATCTCTCTATTAGTTTCTGCTTCTGATATGTACCACATCAGGCAGTTTTCTTTGAAATAACAGTCTGCTTGGATGTATCGCTTGTGGATAATGTTTTCTATACCTGATTCAAGTAAACGCATAGCTATATAGTTACGTAGAACATATATTACTTGAAAGTCACAACATAATTTAGTAGGAAATTAGACTATGTACTAACTTAGCTAACTTACATACTTACATACCTACATTCCACTCGCTCAAAAGGTATGGCCAAGGAAGGTGGTATAATACACAGTAACACCGTATGAACTCCGAGGTGCATAGTACATATATAACTTACAATTGCCCTGCATATACAAATAGAAGTTTTACTTTAAAATAGCTTAGCCATCTACTCACATACTCTTACATTCCTCTACCTCAAGACAGCTACGTTCGGCCAAGTAGACGAATGCCATACACGGGTACACTGTAGAGCAGTATTGTGCAAACAAGTAGCCCTACTTTACAATAGAGCCAAAATTGTGGAGATCGGCTAAGTGCAGGATATTTATCTCTTGGTCTATTATCATGCAAGGTTACCTTAAACTTCGTAGTGAATAATTTCAAACGGTGACATAATTAGACTAAACACACGCTTACACGTTGCTGTTTTTATCACCCTCTGATGAAATTGGGGCTTTTTGACGTGTTCGTTCGGAATGATTGAGGCAGTTCGCAACTCATGTCAAAATAATTGCTACCGATTATATGCGGACCGAAGGCAACTACTATTCTTGGGCTGGACTGGCCGCTCTCTGCCCCAGGCCACCTATTAGCGTTTCCAGCCCTCTGCACACGCTACGGTCTAAGTTCTCTGCATTCACATTGTCAATCTAGAGCTTTCGCTTGCTTGCGACCCCACTATTCTACTATACATCCCCCTGTCAAAGTCTAATGCAAGTTCCGAATCCACCGAGCTATTGCATAAATCGTACAGAAATTTTTCACTTTGAAGGCATGTGTGCGGCTCAAGTACCTAACTTAATACACCTATGAATAAAATTAGCAATCCCCTTATTTCAATGACAGCTGAGGTATAAATACGGACTGTTTCTCGGATCTTAAATCTGGGAGTAGAAGAAGAATTGAAAATCTAAAACCAATTGCACACATAAAAGCAAAGCCGAAGAAAGTAATTGAAAAAAAGTAGCTAACATGACTCTCTCACACCACGTTAATAGTGAACAGCTTGAAAAGGAGTACTTAAAGGGTTCAAGGAAATCCAAATTAAACAACCGTGAAGAGTACATTTTCAAGTACTCTTCTCAGGATACTGTTCCCAAGTACGAAATTCCAGAAGAATCGTCTGATAGTCATCAAGTTTACAAGTATCTTCAGGAAGGGTTATCCTTAGATGGTACCCCAACTTTAAATTTAGCCTCGTTCGTGAACACGGACATTGATGAAGTGGCATTGAAGTTGGTTACTGAAAACTTGGTGAAAAATTTGGCTGATAACGACGAATACCCTAGCTTACTTGAGTACCAGCAAAGATGTATCTCAATTATCTCAGACTTATGGCATGCTCCAAAAATTGTTGACAAGGAAACTGGTGAAACCAAGGTTAACACTGTAGGTGCTGCTACTACTGGTTCGTCTGAAGCAATCATGTTGGGGGGATTGGCATTGAAGAAATCATGGCAAGAAAGAAGAAAGGCTGCAGGTAAGTCCACTTCCAATCCAAACATTATCATGGCAACATGTGCTCAAGTTGCTTTGGAAAAGTTTGCCCGTTACTTTGACGTGGAAGACAGATTGATCAGTATCACTGAAGAATCTGGTCATTTAATTGATGTTTCCAAGATTAAAGATCTGATTGATGAAAACACTATTGGTATTTTCGTGATTTTGGGATCCACCTTTACTGGTTCTTTTGAACCGGTTGAAGAAATCGCCAAGTTGTTAGATCAAGTTCAAAAGGAAACTGGTCACGATGTTAAGATTCACGTAGATGGGGCCAGTGGTGGATTTGTTGCACCATTTGTTTTCCCTCACTTGAAGTGGGACTTTGCTATCGATAGAGTTGTCTCAATAAATACATCAGGCCATAAATTTGGTTTAACTACAGCTGGATTGGGCTGGGTCATCTGGAAAGACATAAAGTATTTACCGGAAACTCTTAGATTCAAATTGGACTACTTGGGTGGTGTTGAGGAAACATTTGGCTTGAATTTTTCCAGAGCAGGATTCCCAGTTATTCACCAGTATTACAACTTATTAACGTACGGTAGAGAAGGATATGCTAAGCTCTTTGATCAATGTATTCAGAATGCTAGATTGTTCTCTAACGTCTTGGAAGGTTCTAAATATTTCGATGTTCTCTCAGTTATCCATAAGAAGGCTACCCCAGAGGAAAGAAAGAAACTTTATACAAGAGAAGTTTCTGGTGATCTTCCAGATTACCAAACTGCCAATGAGGAATATCAACCTGGATTACCAGTGGTTGCTTTTAGATTCTCGAAATACATTAGAGACAACTATCCAGAATTACCCCAGTCAATTTTCTCATTATTATTGAGAAATAAGGGCTTCATTGTCCCTAACTATCACTTGCCACCTGATGAATATGAGAAGGAAATCTTAAGAGTAGTCGTTAGACCATCCTTGAGCTTAAATTTGTTAGACAAGTTGATTGAAGATACAATTTCATCCCTCGAGTTATTGATTGAAAGTTGTGATTCTGTTCATCAGGTAGTAACAGATAAGCATACTACCGAAGCTGAAGATCATGCTTCTATCTACAACTTATTGTTGACAATTGCCAGTGGAGGTGTTGAAGATCTCAAAAAGGCGCAACACGAAGCTTTAGACAAACCAGAGACTGGCCACAATAAGAACAAGAAATCCTACAGAGGTGCTTGTTAGCTAGATTACTTTTGTAGTTCCTCCTCGATGCCTATATATATGTACATATATGCAAATGATTTTCTTAGTAAAAGTAAAATGGTGGTGCCTATGTAAAGCTAGAGAGTTTGGTGTTGCAATTTCGCAGCCATTCTGAAAAATACCTGGTGTTTCATAAAGTTAAAATTGCTTGGATCGAAACGAATGCATTTATTCCCCACACCTTGTTTGTATGTCACACCCCTCCCCAATTTCTATATTCTACATAGTTACGATTTCTGCTAGAAGCATATGGGACTCTGAGAAAGAAAATCGTAAGGTGTAGTAGGTAATGTGTTCTACCTGATAGTGGCATTGAGTTCATTGAAAGAGCCATGTACGATCCCTGTGGTGTCATGCACGTTTCTACGCCATGCATAAGATTGCTACTTGAAAAATTTGAAAAAAAAAGCTCTTTGATTGCCATCTCTGATCTACAAGTTAAGTAACGAACGCCCTTCTGCTATGTATCTAGAATTGTATGTCATTCTCTTTATTATTACTGTGATATAATAGCTAAGATTTAACAATTGCTTTCTTTTTTCCACACTCCACACTTCGTATAATTCTAGTTTCGATATCCTTTGTAATTAACCTTTTGCAGAGGTATGTTGCGGGATGACGCCTGCATGATATTTTATTTTCTTGCCACAGCGTAAGCTAATGAATAGACTATTGCTATTTAATGAACACAATTTGCACTTTGAAATTGCCCTCCTCGTACATTTTATTCTCTGATTTTCATACTCTCTTGTTAGCTAAAGGTTTCTTAACTAGTTTGTTTTATCAATTGAGTTATATAACATTTTACTATGTCTGATCAAATTGCTACTCACAAGTTCGCAACGACTTTGTCCCTCATCTTGTCCGTATACGGTAATGTGCGTTATATTGTTGGAAAGTCGGCCTTTGGAGGAAAGCACTCAGGATTCCATGTTGATGATACCCCATTCACTTCCAACATCATTGTCCTTTTCGTCTTTTGGGGAATCTTGTACTTCTTACAAATAAGTTTTGTTGCACAAATCTTTTTCCCTGCTGCAGACAATTCTGTAATTACTGGTACCCCTGGTGGAAATATCAGTAGACTGGCAGTTACCAATGTCGTTGGATGGCACTTTACTGTTTTCAACTTTTTGCAATTCATTTGGAACGTTCTTTTCGCCAATGGACATTTCTTCCTTTCAGAATTAGTCTTAATTATCAACTTTGTTAATGTGATCATCTTATACTTCTCTCACAAGACTTATGGAATCAAGCCATTGTCTTCTTGGACACTTATCCATTTACCAACTGCAGCTTTCCCATTGTCATGGTTATTATACGCTGTTTTCTGGAATGGTGCTGTCTTGTTCCATGTCCACCATTTGCTTGGTAGAATCATTGCAAACGTTTTGATTTGGGACTTCCTTATCATTCCAGCATTCTTCTTGTTTGTCTTTAATGATTGGGGTGTAGGTTTCTCATCGACCCTTTTGGTTTTCGGTTTAGCTTTGGGTCAATTGTTTACCAAGGTCATTGCTTTCCAATGGATCTTTGCTTTTATTATTGCTGGTTTATTACTTGTTTTAAGTATTGTAACTGCTGTTTCAGGAAGCTTGTATCACCGCCAGCTCTCATCTGATACTGCACCTTTATTACAAGAGAGTGCGTAAGCAAAGAACACCAATAAAGTAGAAAAAAAAAATACTTTAGGTAAAAAATAAAAACTTCTATATTATGTATATTGGTTTATATGAATAAAACTGTGTTTGCAATACTTCTTCGTATTCTCTAATATTATTGTATATTTTGGCATAAACCACCCTTCATAAATCTTTGCGATATTCTATAGTACAGTTCCTCTTTATTTGTCCGCTATATCTTCTACTCTATTTTACAGGCTTAATCATTTTCTTGAGCATTTTAACTCTCAAAACTTCAGTTGGTTCATTCAACGCCAATGAATTATATAGTAACAGCCCCTCATGTTGAACTAAGGAGGCGTATGTGTCTCTATGTATGTTTGTGATGAACTCCTCTCTTGTAGTGTCAGGATCGCCGAGGCCTATATACTTCGTCTTGAGCTGACTGTACTGTATGTTTTCTCTTACTTTGTCTGACATACTCTGGCAGCCTTCATAGGAGTTGGTGATTTGCAGTGTGTTCCTTTTTTCTTCTTCTTCATCACCTCCAAAACCATTGCAGATCACTTATATGCAGTATCTGGCCAAGCACTTATGTGCCGTACTAAACCACTAGCCCTGGATGTCTGGTGGAGAAGACGTTGTATCAGATCAAAGATTGATATGTAGTACGTGAAGAGGGATGCATTCAAGGCAGACCCAACATATTAACATACGATTCTGGGGTAGAACGAAAATAAGCAGACCCCACTTACTCCACAATTCGGTGTTGTCTACTGGCTGCGAAAGCCGTAGAGCCCAACTGCCGCATTGTTCTTCTTCCGTTCTCCATCTTTTCCCCCAAACGAGAAAAACAGCAGCTCGGCCTGGTGCCAAATCGTACGCTCATCTCAAGCAACACATTGGAAGCTGCTAGCGATCAGCAATGTTACGTAGAAAAAAGAAAATATTTCAGCAAAACAGGTGGAACAAATCATGTTAAGACTAGGGCAGACAAAGGGCAGAGTAGCAATCACAGACTAAAATGGCGTAGCAAGTAAGAAATGAGAATGGGAATGGACCTGATAAAGGTAAAATAAAGGTTATCCTTTCTTGTGCGATAAGCATTTCAGCATGCTTGCCAGTATCACTTGTTCAGTGCTAAATTATCCTGCCTCACTAATTTATTGCGCGGCAGAAATTGAGGAATGTCCATCTCCGCCCATGATGGATCCAGGCAGATTGCAGATTTCTGATCCCACCTCCATTTTCTCCCCTCAGAGTTGCATAGCGATTCAGCTCAGACTTCGCTAATAAGCTTTCCGTTATTCGCAGGACCACTTAGCGTTAAGTAAGGTTCCTCAACTGAAACATAGTCTTGATGGACTCGTGCAGCACAGCTACGAAATATCAACCCGGTCAGCCCACTGTGCTCGTCATTTCCTCTCCCAGCTGTCCCCGAAGGGTACGGTACGCCCCCATACATCATGACTAATGCACTCTATTCCACTGCCTTCTCACTAATTGATGGCTCATACTGTTCATTGGTGTATATAGAGTGCCTCAACCATTTTCGTTCCGATTATTTTTTATTTTTTCTCACCTTTCTATATCTCAGTCACTTACCGCTCCGTAAAACCATTTCACTTTTTTTGCTGGGCTCCACTGGATTGTTTTTCTAGAATAACACAGTTGAAGGCATATTCAGGGAAAAATTATCGTTTTCTTGAGGAACATTTAGTAGTAGTAGACTACGAACGACTTATTTCAGCGAAAAAAAGCAGGAAAAAAGCGGCCCAGAATCGTAGTTTCCAGCTCCGGTCCACTATCTACTGCACCTAGAGAAAGATTATCAGCGCAAGGGTTTATTAATTTGATAGTTTCTGCACTATTTAATACACTATTTGTTTTCAATCCCCTTCATAACTCTCACAGAGACATGCCCCCAGCAATGTATACGAAGAAGAACCAGCAACACACGTCGAAGGGACATGGGAAGTCCGACAGCAAGAGGAGACTGATGACTGATACCATAACCGCGAGACTCCCGCAGAATTCTGGCACCCCCAACTCAGCGACTTCCAGTTCCAGCTCAAATGGTAACGGGAACAGCCAACAACGAAAGATCTCCAAATTCACGCCGAGAGAGCTCATAGATGACTTGGATGACTCCTCGCTCTCAATATTCAAGATGTACCAGCGGAAGAGTTATCTACCTCAGTCACAGAGAATTGCAAACATTGCGTGGAGAATTCAGAATAAGAAGTTAGCAGAAAGGGCCAAGGAAAAGCATGATCTGTTTGAAATACAGACTACAAAGCCTGTCCCTGTCCCTGTACCCAGTGCCATTGGAGGAAAAATTATTGAAAACTTGAATGATCCAAATCTCGACGAGTTTGATTATGTGGCCCACATACGGAGAATCAGTCAGGAAGAATATGGCCTCAATAATGAAAGTGGAGATGTGGGACAGTCCGACGAGCAGACTCCAACACTGCAACATCTGCAACAAAAGCAGCAGCACCAACAACGACTGCTGCTGCTGCTGCTGACCCAAGCATCTACAGCAGCTCCCATGCAAGTATCTAAATCTACAACATTTAACTCCCCCGAATCGAACTCGAACTCCTTGACTTCACAATCGTCATCCATTTTCTCCAGCGTCAAGTCTTCCAATTTCTCGAACAAAACAGACCCCAACTTTTTAGCAACATATATCAATTCATTGGAGACTTCACTCCAGCAGGACTACAAAGCATCTATGATGGACTCTCCGCCAAAGGCGAAGAGGCAATCTTCTACAATGTCAGCTTCTTTCTCAAATAGTTCCAATAACGGGAACCCCAGTAACAACAAGAAGATATTGCAATGTACAAACTGTCAAACTCGCACAACTCCTCTATGGAGGAAATCTAGTTCTGGTGACCTACTCTGCAATGCATGTGGTCTCTTCTACAAGCTTCATGGAGTGTTGCGTCCGTTGAGCACTACAACAAATGCTACAGGGAATCTCAACACTGGTAAGCAATCGCAGTCACAAATGTCACTACAAAACCAACAGCCAAAGGCTGCAAATAAAGTTAACGATAGAACGATAATGAATAATAATATGAATCTATTCAACTACATGAAGGATAATAATAATGAAACTAATAACAATAGTACTAAAACACAGTCTATATCTCAAAGAGAGCGTCAACCTCTGCTGTTCCACCAACCAATAAGTCCGAATATCATATCTCACCACCACCACCACGGGCCAAACATAGGTATTTCCAAATCATTGGATGATACTAATCTGCATAATTCGGAATTCTTGGAAATGGATCCATTCATCAATGACAATTCACACGCCGAACCAAATTCGGAATACATAGACAAGCTACTCAATGCCAACTTGTTCCAAACTGAATCATACAACATCGGTGGAGACCATCACCACCATGAATCTCATAACTCAAAGGAAGATCATGACATGTATGGCTACCAGATGGAGGGTAGTGCAGAAATGGAAGGAATCAGCGATGAAATTCTAATAGATTCTGCGGAGTCAAACTCACACAACTGGAATTGGCTTGATTTCGGACCATCAAAGCATTAACCAGCCTCTCTTTTTTTTCTTTTCTTTTTGTCTAGTTGTCAAGATGACGTAGATTACTTAATAAATGATTAATTAGATTACTTTGGCATTTTTATTTAAAACGTACATTCAATTTATCGATAGAGGTGATAGCTTCACAGAAATGCTGAAGAGAAAACCACATCTATTCAAAGATAACCACTTGCTTGGCCTTCGACGATTTGGCAAAGGCATTCTTGTAAGCTTCGAGGAATGCTTCCTTTCTATCACCCAACTTATACACATTTTTCTCAAATTCAATGTTCTTGATGTCTCCTGATTCAAATAAGTCAATCACGGAGGTCAAGGTTCTAACCTTAGACTCTGGATCTGTCTTGGTATTCTTGGTAAACCAATAAGCCTTGGTGGTAATATTCTTAAATAATTGCAAGCCGATAGAGTAACTGATGGGTTCAGGATCCAAGACACCATAAGAAACCAAAAACCCGTCTTGAGACAAATGCTTGAAAAGTGCACTGGCCAGCTTACCACCAACAGAGTTCACAGCTAACTTCAAGCTACCTCCAGTTTCTTTGAGCCATTGCGGAATTGTTTCAGTTTGGAACTTTTCAGATTGAGACTCCTCTTCTGTGATTACCTTTGTTGCGCCCAAATCAATCAATTCTTTGACAATCTCGTCATGGTTGGGCTTTCCACCTCTGATCACAGAGATGACATTGATCTTTCGATGCTTAGCAATCTGTGCAAGAAACTTGCTTACTTGGGAAGCACCAGCATTTTGAATAACCCAATCCTTACCCAGGTTATCAAATTCTACGAATTGCTCCAATATTTGGTAGGCAGTCGGAGGATTAACACCGATAGTAGCAGCTTCCGAGATGGTTATGTTTGTAGATGCCTTGGTCGAGTCTTTAATCTTGATCAATGGTACATCGTTTAAGCCAGTATTGGCATCATCATAAAAGTCCAAAATAGCATGGGTTCTCCAGGTTCCAAAATTGGGCAACTTGGTGATTGCCCAGTCACCAGCTTTAAATTCCTTGATACTGTCCCCGACCTTAACAACTTGGTACAAACCCTCATTTCCCCCGATGTGAACTTCTTTGCCTTGCACAGTTTGAGTCCTTGGTACAGTGTATACACCTTGAATCTGAACCAAATCAGATGGGTTAACCGGAGTTGCGAGAGCCTGAATTGCGACTTGGTTGGGTTTCAAGTCTGAGAAATCAATGTCATACTCACTAACTGAGACAACCTTTGAGATGTCACTGTCAAATGATGTGTATGTAAGAGCGAGTCCTTTAGTCATTGTAGAGGGAGGAACGTGGTTATGTGGTTATCAATAAGTACAAGAGAGATATTGGTGGTGAAAATACCAAAGAAAAGAAGAATTGGTGATCCACCCATTGGCCTTTATAGTGTGTACCAATTGTGGTGCGGATGAGACATTACTAATTAGTTCGCACTACAAATTGTGTACCCAGTGAGACGAACCGTAGTAGCCGCTGTGAGGAAGTGGAAAGAGGAGGTTGAGAATAAGTCTTTAGTCATCAATAAGTTCTGTCTTCTAAGAAAGTAACCTGAAATGAAGAAAAAAATCGGGAAGTATCTTCTGCTTCGAAGTGGTATCTTACTGGCAATAGGCACATAAGTGTCGAGAAAGTAGAGGAAGTAGAATAAATTTAGATCTGCACCAGATCTCTCGTCTTACTAGGCAGAATATGAGCATCAGGAACGTGTTTTGGTTCCTGTGTGTAGATAGGATAGAAACAATAGAATATGTATTGTTTCCTGAATGTGTGTGTGAGTGTATAGGCGTTGATATTTGCTCTAAAGAGTAGGAGATGTGTGAATATATAGCGCACTGTGTAGCCAACTGTGGAGAGCGGGAAATCACACACTTGGCTCTCAACTACTACATACGACATTTTAGCCTTCTTATCACGTTTCTAAACCTTATTCATTCTTCTCTTGACGGGAACGGTCTGAAGTCGAAGGTTAAATCTATGGTAAGTTTAACCTTTTCTTCGTCACTTTTCGATTCTAGCTCTACGATTTACTTGTGCATTTCACATTGCGACCTGCAACACCCTACTTAGTCAGGAACTAGTCCATTCTACATGTCTACATTTTGAAGTTCCTCAAATACACCAGCACTTTGGTACTGGCTCGTAATTGACTGGGCTCAGGGCTGTATGAGCCTGGCGGCTTGGTGGCTCACATGCGGTGGAATCGAGCTGGAACCAAAAATAGGTCAGATCGCAACCAAAATGGTCAATGTGCCTCGTTCCTTAAACCTCTCCTACAGGGATCTCTACTAAAGGCGATGATGCGAAAAAGCTCGAGGAAGGGAAAATTGCTACTTTGATTAGCGAAACTGGAAAAAATAAAGCCTGAGAGAAAAAAAGGGTGCATGAATTATGTGCTCCACGGAGTCAAGTCTATTGTCAGGTTACACCCACTGTCTTTCCAGTGAGAACCAAAGCAGGAGGTTGCGGAAGGTGGTCTCTAAGCCTTCGCTAAGGTTGTGCAGCGTAATTTCACCAGTATGAGCCATTAAAGTTTCGAAACTTTATTTGGTGCAAATTTCACGGTTTAACTTCTATAATAGGTGTTCCTATTTTACAGAAGAGTTACACAGCTACCTTGCATTTTTAACCTTATAATAAAATTTCACTGAGGTAATAGACTCTGATTTATTTTCAGGATCGTCCGTGTGGCGCTCTCATCCCTTTAGCTAATTTTTTATTTCCCAATTCTTATATTTGGTTAAATATAGAACCAACGTTCGGTGATAATCAAAAGTCGCCTTGGTGACTGGTACCACTTTTAATTAATTGAAAGATTACATACCAGCAGGTGCAGCCGGGTTCGTTCGCGAGATGCTTTTGCACCTCTTCTAAATGTGTGAGAACAAAAAAAATCTTCCTTAAAGTGATAATTCCTGCATGTTGCCAAGGTTATTTTGAAAAGTTCTCAAAAAGGTTACATTGGATTTTATGACCTGGGGTTACCATTACGTACCAAGAGTATAATTCACCATCAGGTGGTAGCTGGGCTCTTGAGGGTAGCGTCGAGCACTGTGGTCCTCGCAAGATTGAAGTGGATAAAGGTACTCATAACATGATAGAGAAGCAGCCACTGTACCCCGTACTTATCAGCTTATACGGAAGGCTCAGGTTCCTAAGCGTAGACCTAGGATTCTTTTTTATTTTTAGATTTTTGTTGTGTTATGGAGGGTGCCTTAAAGCAAGAAAATAATAGAGTCAAAAAAAAAAATAAAAATAAAAATTGTAAAAAATTAAGAATAGAAATCTCTATACCAATACCTTATTTTTGTAAATTTTTTTTCTTTGTATCATCTAATTATTGTTAACGGACCCTGTGTGCGGTATTTCGGAAACCTGTTTCTTTCCGACTAGTCCATCGACATATTTGAACCTCAAATTCATACTCTTCTTTCTCGACTCTTATTCTGGATCAGGACAATTTGCAATACCTGATTAGTCTTCGTTTTTGTCACATCCGGTTCATTTTTGCATGGGGCTTTTATCGAAGTTCAGATCCGACCGAAAGAAAGGTCACAACAGATCCGAGACTTCATCGAGCTCGATCATTGGAAGTGACTTCCTGACCACTGGTTCGGACTCGTCTCACTCTTCAGCTGATACGAACTATAAGAACTTCTACCATCAGAAGCATCATAGCCAAAATGGACTTCAGGGCATCAATTCTCCCAATTTGAACGGGACAATTCCAGCTGCATTACAACCCCAATTTGCCAAGTCTCAACAACAGCAACAACAACAACAACTGACGCTTCTGCTGCTGCCTCAGAGAAAGCCTCCAGTTGGTATGAATCCCACGATTTCTTCTCCTGGTGTGTCTACTCTCGAGCCACAAACTCCAAGAAACCTCACTCCAATTGAACAGCAGACCCTTTACTCGCCTAAAATAAGAAAGCCTGTCTCAGCTAAGGCTTCACCTGCTAGTCAATCGAATAGTCAAAATGGTCACATGAAGAGCCCAAGCTACTCCAAAAGTCCATTGTCCAATCTGCATGTACCTGAAAGAGACTACACTACTGCTGCAAGACCGCTAGGCACAAGCAGCCGTGGTCACTCCAGAAACAATAGCGATATCAACACTCCTTTCTCGTTGGACCCAATGGCTCAGTCTTTGAGGACTGTTAGCCGTTCCTCCTTTGCGGTTACCGGAAGTGTCATGAGTGAGTCAGACTTCACTAGCTATGAGGAAGAAGATGACGACGAAGATGACGTGTCGCCTGTTGATCCTCAGCAAAGCAAGTTGGAAGCTCAGAGGCAGTTCTTCGCCCAGCCTCCGGAACAAGTGGATAGCCAGAAACCGGAGCAGGGTAAGGAAATGACGGCACAAGAGTATGCTAGAAGACAACAATTGAATCAGCTGCAACAACTGCAACAGTACCCACAGCCATATCAGCAACATCAGTACAACCAGCAATATCCTCAGCAATATCCTCAGCAGTACAACCAGCAGTACTCGCAGAATTACGCTCAGCAGCACCCTCAGCAGTCCTCGTATGGGCATCTCCCTTCACTTCATTCTGAAGATGATGTGAGAAAGGCGCCTGCTGGGATGCTCTCAAACACTGGTAACACCTTTAACAAAAGTGGCTCTCCATCTGATTTACTCTCAAGAAAATCTACTATCAAGTCAAGCAGACGTTCTTCTGTACCTTTTTCAGTTACAGAATCCAAGCCAATGGTCGGTGACCGTAGGGCTAGTAGAGTCATGTCTGATAATAAGGAGAACTCTGAACAAGGCATTTCACATAGCAGCCTGGGATTGAGTTTAAACCCTAATAATTATAGATACATTTCAGATTATGAAAAGTTTTTTGACGGTGGTGAAGAGGATGAAGTCTCTCCAATGGAAAAAATGGGCCCTAGTTTAGGGAATAAAAACGTAGATAAAGATGACCCTAAGGTGAAGAGGCTGGACTCCATGGGCTCCGAAGGGTCATACAATTCCATTGAAAGAGGTGACTCAGGTAAGTTCAAAGTTGGTTCTAAGGAAGAAAGATTAGAAAGAATTCAATCGAATACCAAAAAATTTGATGAAGCTTCCAAAGCCAACCAGAGGATGTTAAGTGAACAAAGGAAGAGAGCTTCCACTCCAAACTTAAGGTCCTTCCTTGATAACAACTCTTCGCACTTTGTAAATGATTATTCAAATATGAACAAGAGTACCAGCTTCAACTCTCCAAGAATGAGTATGATGGATTTTGGAGGACCTTCAAATCCATATGGCCACATTCCACTTGGAACTAGTGGCTACGCGGGCTCGGTTTATAATATGGGAGCTAACACGGAGTACAATGGCTCTTCAGCTGTACAAAGGCAAAATCTTGCCAATGCAGAAGCCCATAGAAGAAGCATGTATCAATTACCATATTCGAACATGTATGGTCACCCTCACCAACATATGATGATGAGTGGTCCGCCAAAGGCACCTTCATCTGTGTATGGTGGTGTCAGTAGATCATCCTCACCATCCAGATCTGTTGCTCGTGTACAGGGTACTAGGATTAATGACCCTAACATCATAAAGAAGATTGAAAATTATGTTGCATTGCGTAAGGTCATTGCTTCAGGTAATAAATCGTTGGAGTATAGATTAAAATGGGTAAATATGTTGATCAATTCCACTAATTCAAGACTTTACAATTACATCAACATTAAAGGTGAACCCATTAACCCTGAATCAATTCCACAACATAGAGCATTATTTATTAAATCATCTATTAATCACACTTTGAAATTATTGAAAGAAAGTGAGAAGAACGAAGAGTACGAAGAAATATTCTCTGATATCTGTTATATCTATGGATGTCTCTTGAAGAATGACTGGGTGCCATTGTATGGTCAAAATTTCGGCATCGAAAGAGATTGTGATGAAGCTCTCAAGTACTTTGAAAAATCTGTCGAAATTAGAGGTAACAACTTCAAGAGTTTCTATAAGTTGGGTGAATTATATGAAGATGATTTAGGTGATTTGGTTGAAAATCCTACCGAAATTGCCTTGGGTCATTACAAGAAATCTGCTCAATATGGTTATAATAAGGCAATCTTCAGAATTTCCATGATATATTTGAACGTTGAGCAATTTAGATCTTACAAGTGTGTCAATTACTTGTTAGACTTAGCAAACATAGACGTTAACTCCAAAGATATCAACTTGGAAGATGATGATAGGGATGAATTGAATCATGTTGTGGGCATGGCAGCATACCAAGTTGGTAAAATCTATGAAGGGTTATATCCTGGTGACTTATCCCCAGATAGTGAATTCATCTCTAAATGTTTAATCAGAGCACCAGTTAACTATGGTAAAGCGCTCACGTACTACAATAAGGCATCTAAATTACAAAATCTTGATGCTCAAGTAAAGTTAGGGCAAGTGTACGAAAATGGAGAATTGAACCGTCAACAAAACCCTGATAAGTCTATTCAATGGTTCTTGAAGGCAGCATCATCCCAGATTCCATCCAAGAGGCACCCAGATGCAATGCTTGGATTATCTAGGTGGTATTTGAAGGGTAGTGGAGGATTAAACAGAATTATCCCATATCCGGAGCCACAGAAGGCATTGGCCTGGTGTGATCGTGCTGTTTTGACAGAACTGCCAGAGGCCTTTTTCACTAGAGGATTATTGGCTGAACAGGGCTTAGGCATAGACCCTCCGGAACAGTTCTACCAAAGAGCATTTGAAATGGGTCATTATGAAGCAGGAGTCAAGTTAGGATACAACGAGCCAACTCAACCTCCAGCAATTTTGCCCACAGATGAGCCTGGCAATGGTTTATACGATTTTGACAGCCAATATGAAATCCAGAGTCCACAATTAAGTGAATAATCGAAAAGAAAAGTAACACAACATTTTAACTAGGAGAAGTAGCATTATGCATTGGACAACAAAAAAGAAAAACTATGACCCTCATGGTCTTTAATAACTTGAAACTAAAACAAAAAAGTAAACGTAGGTTTAATTCATATTAATATATAAAGGAATTATTTATCATTTAATTGCAGCTCTATTTCGTCAAACATAGTGGATGTAGCTACTTGTAGTGCTTAAGTCCAGGTGTAGAACCCATCCAATATCATCACATCAATATGGACACTTAAAATTAGAGAACAAAACAGTTGACTCGTACATTACATGTCGAGATATCAGCACTAAAGGAAGAAGAAGCAGAGAGCTAAGATATCATTTAACATACTAGCTACTTGCACTGTAGCGATTACTTCTCTGCAACCTCTTCTACGCTCCTACTGCGCTCCTACTGCGCTCCTACTGCGCTCCTACTGCGCTCCTACTGCGTTGTTACGTAATCGCCCATACGATAAAGGCAGAAGTGGTGCAAAATACTCGGAATAAATTTCTTCCCCAGCCCCAAGCCATAGCATATCTCTGTTAATTGATTGTCTACACTAACATTTAGTACTTAGCCTTTAATTCGACCATACATCCCAATGCGCCCAAATATACTTACATGGGGCCACCTCTCTAGCTCCCACTAATTAGCTTCCACCCCTCGAACGGCTCCGGCTACTTCGTTACCTGCACTGTCGCATGCACTTTCGCATGCACTGATAGTAACAAACAGCACTAATCACTTGTCCTGCATGTAGGCTGTTTGTTTTCATGCGGGATGGCCATAGAAGGGCGTGGTCTTGACTCGATAGCACACTCTTCCTTAGGCAATACCCACTACTTTCATAGCATAATTCACCTGTTCCATTGCTATGAGTCTGCCGAGAAACATCCAATCACCTAGCCCCTCGGAGGAGCGAAGAAAATCCATTGCTAAGTTGACCAGGTCCCCACTCTCTTCCTCCCCTTTGATCTCGAACTCCCCCAGCAGGTACGGATCAAGAACCAACTCGTTTTCCTCTACGTCCAATGGACGCTTCTTAAAGACTAAACCGTCCGGCGTTTCTGCGAATCAAGACGTCTTCAGCAAATCTGACGAAGACGAAGACTCAAACGATTCCAACTCAGACTTGGTCTCAACCCTTCAAGACCCAGCTGTGATCCAGAATGCAGCAAGATACCTTTCGCCCAAGCCAGACCCAATCAAATCTGAAGGTGGTGACATAACAAGAGACATCTACAAGTCCATTGAACACAACTCTGGGAACAATTCTGCATACAACGTGTCCAATAATGACCATATTCAGGCCTCCTCCCCCAGACCGGCCTCGATCAGAAGAGCCAGGAGCTACTCTTCCATGGAAGAGCTTCAGAGCCATAGTAGAAGGGGTTCAACAGCGTCTTCCTTGAACGTTCCAGGTGGATTTAGGAGAGATTTCCTTATACATCACGGAAACAAGTTCCAAACTAAGGAAACGAACTTCTTGACCAGAAATTTCGTGGAGTTCTTAAGTATCTACGGGCATTTCGCTGGAGAGGACTTGGAAGATGAAGACGATCTTATTGCATGCCATTATAAGCCGTTTGTGGCTAAGACAGATGAAGAATCTTCGTTATTGCTTTCTTCTTCGAGAGACAGAGACATCAACCCTAACGGGACAGCAACTGAGAAGAAGGCTTACTTCCTTTTACTAAAGGCCTTTGTCGGGACCGGTGTTTTGTTTCTCCCCAAGGCCTTTGCTAATGGTGGTCTATTATTTTCAGCATTGACTCTTTTCTTCTTCGGGATCTTATCGTATTGGTGCTACTTGATCCTTGTTTACTCTAAGCTGGCAACCAAAGTGTCTAGTTTTGCAGAAATTGGATTAAAACTTTATGGGAAATGGTTCCAGCAGTTGATCTTGTCGTCAATTGTTCTTTCGCAGATTGGATTCGTAGGAGCTTACATTGTCTTCACTTCAGAAAACTTAAGAGCATTCTACTCCTCGGTATTGGGATACGATCCTGCTAGTTTGAATATTTTGTGGTTCATCCTCGTTCAGTTGATTATCTTTTTGCCATTATCATTGATCAGAGACATCACGAAGCTTTCACTTCTGGCCCTCTTGGCCAATGTATTTATCTTGGTGGGACTTGTTACTATCATATATTTCACATCTTACGAACTTTTGGTGAATAACCATGGACACCCATCGAGTTCTATTGAATACTTCTTCAACGAGAGCGAATTCCTGATGTTTATTGGGGTGGCCATTTTCGCATTTGAAGGCATTGGGTTGATCATTCCTATCGAAGAGTCAATGATTAGACCTAAAAACTTCCCCAAAGTATTATTCCAAGTCATTTTAACCATTTCTTTCATTTTTATTGGAATTGGAACTTTAGGCTACCTTACATTTGGTAACGACGTGGAAACTGTGATTATCCTTAATTTACCTCAAGATTCACCAATGATTATGGTCATTCAAGTTCTTTACGCCTTTGCCATTTTGTTGTCCACTCCTTTGCAGTTATTCCCAGCTATTAGATTGATTGAACTGAAACTTTTCGTCAAGACTGGTAAGACTAACATATTGGTGAAATGGGAGAAGAACTTCTTTAGATTTGGATTCGTTTGCTTCACCGCCATTGTTGCAATTTTCGGAGGTAAAAACTTGGACAGGTTTGTATCGTTTGTGGGTTGCTTTGCCTGTATCCCCTTAGTGTACATGTATCCTCCAGTCTTGCACTTGAAAAGTTGTTGCAACTACAACCAGTGGGGACTTCTGGAAGCCGAAAAAACAAAGAGATACTGGTTAGGTGTATTGGACTACTTTTTGGTTGTAGTCGGAGGTGTTGCAATGGTTTACACCACGTACCAAATCTTGGCTGGCTAATCTTGATACTGACATCCAAATAAGAAATTAATTAAAAACAAACCAGAAGTCATTAGAAGTTATAGAAAATATCAAATCATATATCGTTATTACTACCCTGGGGGCCCAGTACCGCCCATTAAACCCCATTCAAGCTCTGTAGTTCCAGTATCACCTTCATACACTTTTAATGGGTGGATTAGTATTCCTCACCATGAGGAGCTAGCATGTTCTTCTTACATTGTTGAGCGCCAACTGCCTCATTCATTCAATTCAGTAAATTGACACCTAGTTGCTGCACCTCAATACAATACACACTTACATACCTCGTTCCTACACTCGTTCTGGTCTACTGTTTCCGGTTCATTTATTTATTCACAATGCTTACATACCTGCTATTTTTTCTTCTCGTCAAGGTACTCCAATATCCTAATTCTGGCGTCGTGAACTCCATTAGTAAGTTTCACCAGTAAGTCTTCAACTCCAGCTTCACCTTCCTTCTTGAGCTCTTCGTACTTCTTGACCAAGTCCTGATGTGCATCGTACACTTCAGGGACAGTCTCCTTTTCATAACGGTCCAATTTTCCTGCTAAGGTTTCAAAGGTGTGAGGCATGAAGTATGAGGTAGCTACAGTACCAAATAAAATGGGACTCAAAAATCTCAAGGGTAATGATCTTCTGTTAACCAAGATGGACCCGGTAAGGGTTGAGGTCAAGATATAAATTAAGTTTGGCAATACAGGTTCCTTGATCAGAAGAGAAACGTCGTTCGCTATAGAACGATACTCATTTACAATTGCCGACTTTTGGGTGCTCAACTCGCTCCCGTATATCAACCATTTGTCGTGTATCCAAGTCCTTGCCTGGCTTGTATACTTTTCCAAGATTGGTGTAGTTCTGATGCTCATTCCTTCGATAAAAGAAACGTTTCCGTGAGGACCTTCCTTCTCTTTTAACTCCGGTGAAATGCTGGCATTAACTCCCGGCTTAGTGACGACTAGATCATCGTCAACATAGAAGTCTCTCTTACCCATAATTGCGCTGTGTTGTGGAATAAAAGTATTTAACATTGTTCATGTTGTCTCACTGTGGACTTGTTGTATTTTGTTGATCCATGCCGGACTGCATATAACTCCAACCTCGTACCATTGGCTGTGAACGCTCAGCACCACAATAAGCACTAGGGTCAAGGTAAGTTCACCGACTACCTCCTCGGAGGCCCAGTGTAAAGAGTCATGTTGGTGTTCTTGCTTTCCTACAACTAAGTACCTCGCACGAGCGAGTTACACGTTACCTGATCACTTCAATTTCTGTATCTGTTGCTTATTTTATTGACTATCTAATTAGCGTTCTAAATTTGCTGTGATCCATTTATTGAATTCATTATCTATGTACAACTATTTCTTCTTCCCGAATATTCCAGATTTTGTCTTCTTCTTCTTGTTGTCATCTAGGGTTGACATATTCTTAACCGCACCTAAAGGTTTCCCCGCAGGTTCATTAGATATTGGAACTTGAACTTGTAACCCTTCGGATACGTCATCTCTGGATTGTGAGGTCTTTGGTGTATCATTAGTAGACAAACTAGAAGTATTGGAGCGATTAGTATTAGGAATCTGTAAATAAGTAGATGACCCATGTTGCGCAGGAGGAATTTGTAAGTCAGCTTGTGATTTCCTTTGGTTCATTGGTGGACTATTCATCGTCACAGGTCTATTCTTTACCGCACCGCTACTACCTGGTCTCTCTCCTGTTGGTCCAGTTGGCATGGGCATTCCTCCTCTACCTCCCATATCTAACCCTTGTAATGCATTACCTGAGGGTTGGGGGAACATAGAACGACGTCCACCCTTCTTTTGCTGATTTTGATATCCATTGTTATTTCCTCCATAAGCATTTGGACCGTTACCATTATAACCATTCGCATACCCGCCATTTGGTCCATTCTGTGGCCCAGGTCCATTAGGTCCATAACCATTTGATCCATTTCCTTGCTGATCGTAATAAGAGTGAATAGAAGATGGAATAGAACTAAGTCTCTGCTTTTGTGGGTGGAATCCGTTGTTCATTTGCTGCTGTGGTTGGTAACGATTATTCATTTGTAAGTTATTGTTAAAAATTGGTGGAATGCCTCCATTAGTGGGCAAACCATGAGGGGGGTGTTGATCCATTGGAGATTGATAATACCCATTGTTTTGTTGAGGATTTCCGTAATTATTCTGCTTGTATCCAAATTGTTGATTTTGATAGTTGTTATTGTAATTATATGGTTGCTGTTGTTGCTGCTGCTGTTGCTGTTGTGGTTGTGGCTGCTGTTGTGAGAATGGCTGTTGAGCAAATGCCTGAGGCGGAGGATATTGTTGTTGAGATCCTGCGGCATATTGGTTATTTTGTTGGAACCCATTCTGATAGCCCGATCCAGGTTGTTGTCCTTGCGGGTTAACTTGGCCCTGGAACCCTGGCTGCACCTGCTGTTGACCTTGTGGAGCTTGACCTTGACCTTGAGCTACAGGAGGTTGGCCTTGGAATCCTTGCATGCCTTGATTCTGGTCATATGCTCTTGGCTTTTGTACATTTTGCGTATCAATCAGTAGTTTCTCAGGAATACCAGTGCTGTTCCCATTCTCTTGGTATCCACTAAATGCTTCTGTACCATTTGGTTCATTAGCTTCTTGTATTATTTCCCCATTTAATGCTGCACCATATAAAGCCACGTCTGACATCTCCTTCATTCCTTGAGGACTTGCTATTAAAGATTGTCTATAAGCATTTTCAGGTTTTGCTCCCTCTTTCTTCAGTGTACTTCCAGGGAATGGCCCTTGAGCATTTTCCGGTGTTTTAAAATTGGAAACTTCCTCTTTCTTTCTTAAAATATCTTTATCTAAAGACTCAATTTGTAGCTTCTTTTCATTCAAAGAAGAGATGAGTTTATCTAACTCTAACCTACTCCTTTCGATATTTATTTTAATTTGGTTTTCCTCAACTTCTTTATTAGTGTGACTAATTTCCAAAGACTTGAAATGCAATTGCAAATCATTCACCTGTTGATTCAATCTACTTAATTTTGATGATTTAGCGTCATAATCTTGGTTCATCAATTCTATGTGTCTAGTCTTCTCGTTATATTCTTCATCAAGAGCCCTATAATCGTTATTGGAAGGATTTTTGGTACCTCTTCTTTGAAAGAAAATCAGGTCAACATTTGGGTCATTTACTTTGATATATTGACACATAATAGAGTACAAATTTTCCAAGTAAGGAGTTCTAATCCCATGGTCATCGGCCAATAAAATTGGTTGCAACAATAAAAGATCAATTTCTAAGTCATATTGTTGGTAATAATTATAAAACAAAGGAGGAGAATCCATAAGTGTATCTTCGCCCTGTCCATTTATGATTGGGAATTGGTCAATCCAATTTTTCCACAAGTTTGCTTCATTTTCACTTCCTTTAACTAATTTACAATCCATTTTCTTAATGATCTTAAAAATTTCAGTTATTAACCCGGTAACCAAAGGTTTACACAAGATCTGCTTGGATAATTCTTCAGGAAAATAGGTTTCAAAGATTACCGATAACGGACTGAATATAATTCTAGGTAACGCTAACTTCCACTGATAAGTCATGAATTCCTTGGACAGATTGGCAATAAGTAAGTTGATTTTACCCTTTGAAGAGTCCTGCACTAATTGGAACAATTTAAGAGTCTTTTGAAACGTGGAGCCACCGTTTTTCTTCAGAGAAGTAGGGTTCCCTACGTATAATCTTGATTCATTTGCTCTGGTTTTATGGCTAAATTGGTTACCATCCACAAGTCTAATGTCGAATTCATTCATGATGGAAGCTACTGCCAAATTTTTCAACTTGGGTAAACTTAAAGTGATAAATGGCTCCAAGTTGACAAAGCCGGTACTTTCCACCAAAATGGTGGTGTTCTCTTTCAAATACGGAGCTAAATCTTGGCATATGGATTGGAATGCTTGTAAGGAGAAGGCTGAAAGCACCACCAAGTCGTATTTTATTCCCGATGGCACTTGCTGGATAGAATGGTGAAGGCCAGACGGATGGAACAGGTGTGACTTCCCACTCGTACTCAGGAAGCTTGAGGATTGAAATGTGATGGGGTCTGTTGGCAGCAACTTCTGGTTCACGATAGAAACCGAACACGAGTTGGTTTCGAGGAGTCTCCAGGCGTAGAAGACGACGTTCGGGTTTTCACCGACTAGATGGTTAGTAAGGGATAATAGGGGGAGAAGATGCCAGAGGGCAGAAGAGTAGGACAACAACGTGGTAGCAGATAGGCACCATACAGGTACAAAATGGAAGCAGAATGGGCCACCAGCAAGAAGGAGCAAGCTACCCAAGGATAGAATGAGACAAGAGAACAGCACAAGACCCGAGCTCCACGCTGACGCAGCACTTTTCTATTTCTATTCTATTCCTCTTTCCCCTTTGCTGTCCATCGCCATTCCTACTGTCTCAACCACCCTTCAACTCATATACATACTCGTCAATACTTGAAAGTCACTCATTTGCGGGTCTCTCAATCAAAGCAATCACCGTGTCCCTAGTGTCCACAATATTTCCGTGCTTTTTGTTCGCTAAAGCACTACACGAACTGTAATATATATACCTCACTACTATAAGGAATAAAGCAACACTAACTATTTCTTCGATCGGGAAAGAAATGAGATGCTACCTGTCTGATTTAACGTCGGCTTTCCTTTCTGTGATGTACGCTTTTTTTATTTTTTATTTTTTTTTTAGACCAGAGGACTGTGCGTCTGCTTGGGGAAAGAAATGTAAAGGTATGATCTGGTTTCAGATGCAGGCTGCATGTCTTGGTAGGGTACAGTTCACGCGTATCTGAGAATGTGGGAGATAGGACAGAGGGAGAGGGTGCGAAGAATGGAGTGGGTGCAGTGGAAGGGAGTGGAAGGGAGTGGGTGCGGTGGACGGGGGAACGAGAGGACTAAGAGGCGTGAGAGGTGTGAAAGGTGTGATAGAAGTGAGTAGAGTGAGAGAAGTGGGTGCACCCGTTGGTAGATGAGCCTCTAGGCTGGCCGAGTTTCAGGTGCTAAGGTCAGACACATCTGGGACGCTAACAGAGAGGGAAGTTCACCAGGTTGGGATCGATTCGGTCCTTTTTTTTTATTTTTCTTTCTTTTTTGGTTATATTTTTTCTTTTTTGGCCCTTTTCTTCTATATAGAGGCAGTGTTTGATAAAGATACAGGCCCACATAAGTTTATTTTTTTTTTTTCGCTTTTCGTAGTTGCTAGCCTAAGAAATAAGCTATTGCCAATTTCGAATTAGGTTCTTAATTTAGCTTCGAGGTTGGTTTTCTTATTCCAAACTGACAATGGTTGCTCCGTTGGCTTGCTTTGGTTTGTTTCTCGTAAGTGCTGCTCCAAATCGGTTCCTTTCACTCACCAATGGGCTGGTGGTCCTCATCCTTCCTATACAGAAACCTGTCAACTAGGCACGTACTGTATTGGCGTGAGTGCGCAATGCGCCAAATCAAGTAAAAAAAAAAAAATATTATGTATACGCTAATAATAAATTCCTTTAAATTAAAAAATATGCTGAGTGTTAGGTATAACGGTACATCGAGGATATCGATATCAATATGCAACACAGTAGACCTGACAGTGCCTGCTTACCTAACGCTAGTCAATTTTGAAGCCTTACCGCTGTGCGCGCAGTTTCTGCTTGCGCTCTCAGGCTAGGCTAATGCCACATCCCTATTGGAAGATCATCAAGCATTAGCCTTGGTATTGGTTTCTTTTCATCAAGGCTTTGATTCGAACCTTGCAATAATTTTTTTTTTTTTTTTTCGCTCATTTCTTTTGTCAGGCTTAGCGTTTATTATTAGATGGGTAACTCAGTGTACTACAGGGTACGACGGTGTACGACAGGGTACGAGATTAAGGAGGTTTGGGTAGTGCTACCGGCCCAATGATGATACATATGAAATTGTGCAATGGTGTACTGGCCTAGTGAATAGCACAGCAAGAGGCTGGTCGGTACCCCGACGGTGTGCAGCCCTGATTTGAGCTGCTGCTGTAGCGAGTTCAGCGGGCTCGTGCTAAATGGAGAGAGTCTCTGGGCTCATGCTAAACTCGTGTTAAGCTTGTCTACAGTTTAAGCGGAGACTTGGATCAGCGCTTAAATAACAATAGAATTTCTCTCGCCTTGGAAAGTGTCATGCAAGCTACTTGCAACCATTGACATTTAGCATTACTGCTTGCCATTTACTGGCTGTTATCAGAGTGCTACAGAGCGCTACTGGTCAGTTTTGGTCTGCATATAGTTAAGTTTTGAATTCTGTATTTTGGCTTTCTACTACTGCACCTTGTTCAACTTGGCCTGTACATTGCCTGGTCCGCCCACGACCCTCTTCGTGCTACTAAAAATTATTTTTCAGTTTCATATTTGATACACTTCATCACCTCTTCTTCACGAACCATTCCACTGGCGTCATCTTGTCTTACTCTAATTCAAGATTCGATAGCCGGTGGCGTTCATTATGTGATATATTCTTTAATGTCTGTACCACTTTTGAAATGCTTGATGGGTTGAAGATTAAATTAGAGTAGGGTGTATCTCCGGTTGATGAGTTAAACTATGACTCTTTCGGTCATGATCCCTTGTACATTGTAGACGTAAATTGAATGCTCTGTTAACTTTTTCATTTTTGGTAGAACATGTCTCCTGCGCATGGCCAATTGACTTTTTCAATTGACATCTCTTGAACTTGCTCTCTTCACACTATGAGGCCCACGCTTGGCTAGCCCGTACCAAAATTTTTCTTATTGAGCTTCCAGTCGCGTAAATATTTACAAGCGCCGATTTAAAGTGCAACTCAATATTTACCTTTCCTAAACACGCTTACACTCCGATCACCATGCCCAGAGGTCAGTTGATCCTTATTGAAGGATTGGATAGATCTGGTAAATCTACCCAATCCCAGGTTTTGTTTGAAAAGTTTTCTCCCGATTCCTCCTTAGTTAAATTCCCAAATAGAGAAACCAAAATCGGATCGATTATTAATGAGTACTTGACAGATTCGGACTTTCACTTATCGGACCAATCTGCCCACTTGCTATTTCTGGCAAATAGGTGGGAATTGGCTCAATCGATCATCGATGACTTAAACGAGGGGAAGTTTGTAGTGTTAGATAGGTACATATATTCTGGAATTGCGTATTCTCTTGCAAAGCTGAAACAAAGTTCTGTTCAGCCAGAAATGAGCAGTGTGGATTGGTTGTATTCGCCAGATAAGGGATTGCCAAAACCAGACTTGACTATATTTCTCACACTTGATTTAAAAGAACTAGGTAATCGTAAAGGATGGGGTGAAGAGAGATACGAAAAGGAAGAGTTTCAGAAGACTGTGAAACTGTGTTTTGAAGAGGTTTTCAAACAGCATGATAAGATAAAGAGCATTGACGTAAATGGAAAGGACATTGAACAAGTGACAGCATTAATATGGGCAGAATTGGAAGCCCATGGTGCAACCACACTTACAGAAAGGGCAATTGAAAAGTTCGAGTAATTTAATGAGTATAGATGTAATAAATATAGTTATAGATTTTTGGAACTGATGGTGCTCGGCACTAAATCAATTTATGTATATTCTAGGATTCCCACAGAAACTGCTGTTCTGAAAAGCATGTTTCATTCTTTCTTTCATTTCCTATTTAGTTACTTAGTTACTTAATCTAGTTTATCTATCTCCGCCAATCGATTTAATATCTTTTGCTTCAGTATTTCTTGTATCTCTCCTCCCAAATATATTTCATCTAAAATTGCGTATAGCTTATAGAAATTGAACACCAAGTCTAACTCACACACTTCATTGAAATAAACGTCCAAAATTTCCACTAGAAAATGTAAGCTCTCTAAGTAACTTAATTCATTGTCTCCTAAATTTATAGAAGCTATAAAGAATAATCCAGCGTACCTTCTATACACTAATTTGTGTTGTTGATACTCAATGAAATTTGACTGATGTTTCAGATCCCTGGAAGAAATGAGTCTGTGAATATCTGATATGAGTCGATTTTTCTCCACTGGTTTGTATGAATTATTAAACCACTTCACAAGACGTGACCTCCCCTGCCTATTTAGCACCAAAATGAACTGAATTGCCATACCCAAATGTCCTAATATACCGATGCGATCTACAAGATATAAATAGTAGTCAACTCTCGATTGACTTTTCACCTTCGCTCGTTCGCGTTTTGGTCTCAGCCATTTGTGGGGCAGGCGAAAAACAGAGAAGAGAAGCCGAAGCCACCATGTTGGGTTAGCTCGTAGGAACACAATAGAGGCACATGGATAGCTATAAACAATTTGAAATCAGAGAGGGGCTCGTCTTCCTCATTGAGCTCTCTGCAGCCATATTTCAACCTGTCGAACAGCTTAATTATAAGTCACAATTTCAAGAGATACTTTCCTCCATCAATGAATTGATATCGGAGTTAATAATCACTTCTCATAATACTGGAGTTGGCATATACCTCTACAATTGCACCACTACTTCGGAGAAGTTCAAGCAAGACTCTACTATTTACAGTATATTCTCGTTGAATGACTTAAACAGTAAAAACATGAAATATCTTAACGATTTAATCGACGATGATTCAAATGGTATTAAGCTGCTTGAAAAACATTTCACTCCAAATGATAAGCCCGTTGAGAGTATACCAGTTGTTTTAAATACAATTTTGAACGAGTTTAACTCTAAATCACATTATAATAACAAAAAGTTGATATGGGTGACAAATAACGATAATCCCTATAACGACGATAATACAAAGAGAAGACTTTGGAAGATTATCAACGATTATGATGAATACCGGATTAACATCAGTCCGATACTTCTCGATAAGTTTAGTGGTGGGGAAGTTGAAAAATTTGATATGACGAAGTTTCAGAATATATTCCTAAATAGTGGTGGAATAAAGCAGGAGGACGAGGTCAAAGATGAAGAAAATGATGACGATAGTGAGGTAGATAGCTTGACCAAATATATCAATGAGCAAGTACGTAAAGCAAAGGTAAAGCAAGCTACTTTATCTACAAAAATTAGAGCCATGATTTTAAGATTGAGAGAGATTAGAAGAGTCCAATTCAATTGCGATCTTATCTTGTCTGATGGTGGGGATGTTGGTGGAAATTTAGGATGCTCCATTAAAGGCTACACTATGTATAACCATGAAAAACCAAGAAGGTATGAGTCAATGTACAATAAAGACGAGGAGTCGAAATTGGTGCATGTAAAGACAAGGTATGTGAATGAAAATACGAACGAAGAAATTAACAAAGACGAGAGGGTAGATGATAATGAAGCTGATGATGATGAAGGTCCTACTATTGGAGACAACATAAAAAAGGGCTATCCAATAGGAGATCTGAATGTGTTATACGTAAATGACAGGCAATTGAAATATTTGAAAAATTATACTTTCGACCATACTCCCAATAAAAAGCTTAAAGAGTTAGAAGGAAGTGCTGAAGAAGCTGCTGAAAAAGCTGAAATAGAGGATGAAGAAGCTGATGATCTTCTAGATGAGAATGCCCATAAAGTAACTCTATCGAAGGCACCGTATCTAAAACTACTAGGGTTCCGCAGAATTAACCTATTCAACCCATTCTTCAACACTTCTAATCCAATATTCATCACTCCAGATTTAAATAACGGGCTCAGAAGTAGCTCATTAGAGGGTGGCTTCCAGAATTCCTTCACAACATTCTCATCTTTATACCAATCGTGTGTATCTCTTAAACGATTTGCAGTTGTATTTGGGTGTTTGAAAAAAAATGCAATTCCAAGCTTGTATTGTCTTTACCCAACTAGAGTCGATAATTCCACGAAGTATTTTGGAGGGAAAAATCATCGTCTGTTTGTTGACGATTTTCCCCAGGGATTCTTCCTCATTAGACTTCCCTGGATTGAAGATATTAGATCGTTGCCAGAGTATGTTTTGCGTAAAAATGGCCAATATCTATATAATACTGAAAAATCTAGTGATAAGAATTTCCAAGATTTGGTGAAACAATACAAATATATTTTCAATGAGTTTGGATTGTTACATTACCAACCAGTGGACTTCCCAAATCCGTCGTTGAACTTCTTCTACAAAATTTTAAGAATGCATTTACTTCAAATTGAAGACGACGAGATGGAGTCTGAGTCTGAAGCTGAGAATGGAATTCTTCAGTTGATCGAGAATGACTCTACAGTTAAGAAATTGGTTGATTTGCATAACTACATTTATGAAGTTGATAGTAAGCTGGATGCATCTAGAGCTGATTTGATTAAAAATTTAAATAGTTCGTTGAACAGCATATCTAATTCTGAATCCATCAGTGAGCAACCAAAGGATACCAAGAGAGCAAAGATTGAAATCGAATTGACTGATGCTGATGTTGTTACGGCGTGGAAGAGTGATGGTTGGCAAAACTTTAATGTATCACAGTTGAGAGGATTCATTTCCAGGCATAAACAGATTGCAAAGGCTACTAAAAGGGCTGACATGATTGATAATATAAAGGCGTTCTTAGAGAACAAATTTGGTAGCATAAAAAAGTAATATTGTATATAAATAAATTCTGTTTTTTGTCATTCTAGTTCTGATCCAATAAAATGTAGTACCCCTAGTTGGATAGCTGCGGTTCTCGACAAAACAGTTCCGTCTCAAATGTACTGAAACTCCTTCATCCACCCTTTATCACTTTTTCAAGAAAAGAGGATTAGCTGCTAATATCTAGCTACAGAAACGGTCAAAGTCTTCGAGACATGCCCGGCACAAGACAAGAATAGTACTGGAGCATCACCAAGGTGTACCGAAGACCATACTACTGCTATCTTAGTGTAGAGCTTCAGAAACAAAAAACTTCAGAAATCCTCTTGGTGGCCAAGCTGGCTAAGGCGCGAGACTGTAATGTGTAACTTACTCAAAGTAATCTTGAGATCGGGTGTTCGACTCACCCCCAGGAGATTTCCTTTTTTTTTGGCTCTTCTTTTTTCCACCCAAGCGCTAAACTTTTTGATAGGGGAAAAGGGGGGAACAAGATAGGCACAATTAGACATCGACGGAGGGGAACAGCAGAACCCACCGGTGGAAATAGGAGAACTGTTGACGTACCTCGCCAATAGAGGAGGCTGCGCATAGCATAGGAGAAGCTACATTTAATAGTGAAAAAGAAAGAAAATGTATCAGAGCAGGCCGAAGTGCCCTACTAGGCGAGAAGAAGCTCAGCTCGACTGTATGTCAAGGTATAGTACGGTCATTTGCAAAAAAAAAAGTGGTGTTTACCTTAAGCTAAACTGTGTGATGAAACGGAAGAACCTGAACGTCGTATATTTGCTCGCAAGTCTAAAATGCCTGATGATGCCCCACAGCAGCCCAGGTCTTCACTTGCACTCCGAAGAGAGCACAGTGCAGGAAAGGAACGAAAAATAAGCGCTAATTTTGCTTGTGCGGGCCAAAGCGAAAGCAGAATTTCATCACAACACTGAAAAATAAGGTTGATTGCTCAGTATTTTTTTTTTTTCTCACCCTGCAACTCGGTAGCGTCATTCAGCAGGAAACCATAGCCAAAAAGGAAAAAGAGAAAAACGTCAAAGTGCAACACCATCAGCAAAGAAAAAGGAAAGACGAATGGGAAGAAAGAAGGTTTTTGGCGTACTGCGCTTGTTTCGTGTTCCCTGTTCCAACTCTCAGTCCCTTGGCTTGGCCAAATCCAAATATACGACGTCCCAAGCCTTTCACTTGTTCTTCCCTAAATTGCGATCCGGCCATCGCTGGGCGTTGAAGGTCCGAAATTTCTTTTTATTCCTTATGTTGTCTCTTTGCGCTACGAGAAAAATAAACTGTGTTGCGAGAGCCAAATGTGGGGATGACACTCTCCACCTTATCGGGGACGATTCGCGGCACTACGGGGTTATATAAGTACGTCTGTTGCCGTATGTCTCATGACAGCTAGTGGGCTTCGGTATATAACTCACGTAGTCTGCTGACTGTATAGATCATCGAACGGAGATCAGAGAACTGCAGCGATACCAAAAAATAAACCAAGTCCCGCTAGCATCACGTTACTGCAGAAATTTGTGTCACGTCTCAGCTACAGAAATTCCATACGACTGAACTACCGACCGACGGACTGACCAGGAAACAAATTTCAGATTTGTATAAATAAACTAGGCATACACGTATCCCATATCCATATACTATACATCGTGTTTTCCGTACCAGCTATACGCCAGCTTACCTTCAGCTACATATAACCTAGAATAAATGTCGTCCCCTCCGTACCACAACGACAAGCTACCTGAGTACTCGAGTACGCCTCCTACATATAAGTCTTCTCTCAGCTACTACGGGTTATCTTTGGTCAAGACCGAATTTAACTCCCCTTACCACTATAACCACGGAAAAAGGTCCTGGAAACCTGTTCTCCTTGAGTTGAACTCCACCCAGCTCATAATATACGATGTCAAGTTCGATAGAAAGCTCTTGAACTTGGTGTTGGCACTTTACCACAGTGAAAACTACTTGGAAGAGGTGATGGAGATGATCTTGACCAAAAAATCAGAGCATCTCGATTTCGTCGAAGACTTGTTTTCTGGCGATGCCTATAGCGCAGGAAGCTCAGCATCTGGAACTGGTCTTAACGGAAGCATCAACAACAAGTCTGCTGCTATTAGGAACAAGTTCCAAAGATCGAAGTTCTCTCATAGCTTGACCAAAGATTTGAACGATTATTACGATATAATTAGAGACAACCAGCTCTTGTTTGAGCCCACCACCTCCGAAGTAGAGTACGCCAAGTTCTCCTCCAGATACAGGGGTGAAAAGTTGCATACCTACACCATCCAGAACCTGAGATTCGGTAGGGCTCCGACCTTAAAGGAATACTTCAAGAATGGCAAGTGCAACCCGGAGAATTTGGCCACTCTCGTCAAGTACAAGAACTCCTTGAGAGTCAGAATCGAGTTGAAGCAGATGTTATTCCAATTCTGGTCGTTCTACGGGTTTACCGAATGGTACAGGCAGTTTGGTATTAGTAAAGATCTTCTGACGTCCATTGACGATAGAGAGTTGACCAAACTTAGAACCATTCCAGCACGTTACACCAGATGGTTGCATGAATGGGTGCAAATTCTGGAGGAATTGGGCCTTGAATTTGATACATTAGAGGGAATGTCCAATTTCGCTACGAATGCATCATCACCAGCCGCAAATGGCAGTAATTTCTCCGATGAGAAGGACAGCCTTTCTCTATATTCCAGTAGATCTTCGGTATTTGATAGAGAAAGATCCATGTCTATACTGTCTACCGATACTATAGCCACGAGCACTTCCACGGGATCTAATTCCGGTGCATTATTCAAGAAATATGACAAATTCAAAATCTATTCATTAGACAACTACTATACGCCGTTGGAACAGCATTATATAACCAACTGTGTTTCCAAATTAAACACTTTTGATAAGTGGACAGGCGTTGGAGTCACTATATCCAACTTTCACCAGTATCTCAATGCTGCGCAACTCAAACGTCTTCATATGGCGCCAGAGGGAAGATCTATTGATCTTTTCATTGACCCATCCAAGCTAGAAAACAGCCTGCTCTGGAAGCTTGGTAGAAAGAAGAACGTTGACAAGGTCGTTGAAAAGGGAGAATGCAGGCAATTTATCATCCTTCAACACGGTTTAGTTAGCGTCGTCTCATAAACTAGAGTAATATATTTACACCTCACCTTAGGAAGCATGTAGTAGTCGTCGTTGTATTGTAGTACAGCCTCACCTGGTGGTATTGTTAAGCTGTTTCTCACAGTGGTAGTACCTGTACTGATATTTGGAAATGTTTCTTTTCTTCTGCTGTTATACATATCAGATGCTTGTATTCTTCGATCATTTAACCTAGTAGTAATGTCAAACTTTTCCTCGCAATAGTACGTATCCCGTTTTAAAATTCAGATGCTTGTAATCCTCGCTCATTTAACATCATCTAGTGTCGTATCTCTTACAGTACTATAACTTATTATACTAAATTTTGCTATATTTCTTAACTTATACTATTATACATATCGGATTATTTGTAATCCTTTTTTATTTATTTGATACCATTTTTTGGGAAATTTCCTTTTGGCTATTCATCTAGCATAGCCATATTCCTCTTATGGCAATTTTTAACTAATCCTTTACATTTTTTTTTAAATTCTTTTAACATAATACATAGATGTGCTTTAGCACTTGGTTTTACATCTTTTACATTTTCAACGCCGTAGTTGTTCCGTTCCTTTGCGGTGGTACTGGTTCCCTGGCCGTCCGGAGTTCGGGCCATCTTGTACCACGGCCATATTGGTCACTCTGTCCCTCAAGACATCATATGGTCTTCATTATCGTAGTCAGCTTCTTCTTCTGAGTTTCCCATTCCAAAGTAGTTCTCGTGCTCCGTTTGAAACTCGCGACCTTGGCCCTTTTGGTGAACTGGCTCTTGAGGGTACTGCTGGGGGTACTGTTGCAGCTGTTGGTGCTGCTGCTGGAGACCCTGTTGCTGCTGGTATCCGTCCATGACATAGTGCTCAACCTCGTGGCTGGGGCTCAACTTCAAGTGTTCCGCAGGAGAAGGGGAGTCAGAAGAAGTCGGGCACATAGACTGGGGCGTCGATGGGATATACAACGACAGCTGCTCTGCGTTCTGGTTGAAGGTGTGGTCCTGGAAGTTTTTGTCTTCGAACTTGGTCATCATCTGGCCGTTCAATGGGTTCACGTATTGTCTCAACGAGCCCCAGGGGGTCATCTTGACTATCCCACCTTCAGGGTGGTTATAGACAGGCCATTCATCGGAAGATGAGTAGACCTGTTGCTCGAGGTCGGTTCTGACTTTCTTAGTGTCCTGTTCCGCCTCGGTGTGCCTTCTCTTTGAGCTCATGTCGAAGTATATATGATTTAAATGTATCTGCGACGATTCTACGAGTCCTGGTGAAACTGTGACGATTGTACGACTGCTGGAGTCTGTGTTCTAGGCGTGAATGGTTCAGGCTATCAGCTTCTGCAGCAACGAGCTCTGCTTGATAGTGAAAAAAGTGAAAAATTCGAAAAAAAAAAAAAAAAAGAAACGGTTCCAGAGTATGGCAAGCGAACGTCCTACTCTAGTTATAAATGCCTCGAGTCAAACAATTGAAACGAAGAGTTACCGTGCGTACGTGAATGTGGGACCCGGCTGGTATACTATGGTGGGTGTGTATACGCGCGTAGCTAAAAAAAAAATTCAAAAAGAAAATAAAAAAAATGCTGGTATCCACTCTTTTAAAGTATTCCAGTGTATGCGCTTTAGTGTAGTGAAAAAAAATAGAAAAAAAAAGGAAAAAAAAGAATCGAAAGCGGAAAGTATGGGTGTCTGGGTGTGAGAGATGATATGCACTGCACACGAGTGGTTGCGATAATGGAAGTAGGAAGAGTTATACTGAAGAGCCAGGGCGGTGCTTTGTTAGGAAAAGCGGACTAGCAAAATGGAATAGTGTGGAGGGTGGAACTAGATACTAAGGAGCTAGGAAATAAGAAACTAGGCCACTAGGAGGAAAGAGCACTCCAGTGCGTGAAGTAGGAAGGACGTCAAGTCTTTGGCTGGAGAGTTCCAGATGGAAGTGCTTGCATATAAGTGCAGGCTCCCTCAATCTTCACTAAGGTGCCAGAATAGTAGGCGCTAATTTCTAGGCACCACTTTCTAGGGGCTATTTCTAGGGATTCCACCAGGCAAGTGAAGTCACTTCCATGAGATAGTAGAGTAAGTCCAGAAGCACACCCGCCCCGGCCCTGCTCAGCTGCAAGCAGAGTGATGCACCAAGACATGATACCACACCAACCCCCATTCACTGTGGCCAAAAAAATAAACCGAAATCTAAAAATTACTAATGCTTGTCCCTTTTCGTATCCTATTCCGAAGGAGCGGGTGTCTTAACCCAGCCAGGCTTCTGGGCTGTCCTGTAGGGGCTCCAGCGCGCTCGTCCTCGCAAAATAAACTCGGCCCAAAACCTCATTTTGCAGTCACGTGATCTACTCCTTCGCTCTCTGCACTCCGCGCGGGCTGGCCAATGAAACTGATATTCTTCCAACGTGATGACTCTCACGTGCTCTTCTTTTCTCTCCAAAAATCCAGCCAAACATTTCTCTAATTGCTTATATGCACACCCTGCTCCATCCAATAGAACCGCCGCATTTTCGTTTTTGTAATCTTGAAAAAAAAATAACTAGCTACATCGTAGTGCTTGAAGGAGCTGTTAGTGATTCATATAATACCCTCGTCTCAAGTTTGCTCAGAAGTCAACATGTTGGGTAGAAACATATCAAAGGCATGCAGAAGCGCAGCCACAAGAAAATACGCTTCTCAAAAGAGCTTATTCTCTACTTTCAATCGCCTACAATATGCATCAGCTCCAGAGGAGTCCAGACCACCATTCACCAATGCAATGGGGTTCCCAGCACAAAGATATTCTTCTGAACCAGGTACTTTTGGCAAGACCACGTTCACCGAGGCAATGGATGAAGTTGATATGACTTGGGGAAGAGACGATGACCCTAAGCATGTGGAAAAGCAGAACACTAAGATTAGACATTTCACGATCAACTTTGGTCCACAACATCCAGCTGCTCACGGTGTGTTGAGATTGATTTTGGAATTACACGGTGAAGAAATCGTTAGATCTGATCCTCACGTTGGTCTTTTACATAGAGGTACTGAGAAATTGATTGAATCCAAGACTTACATGCAAGCATTGCCATACTTCGATAGATTGGATTATGTTTCCATGATGACCAATGAATTGGTATTTGCCTTGGCAGTGGAAAAGTTGTTGAATGTCGAAGTTCCATTGAGAGGTAAGTACGTCAGAACCTTGTTTGGAGAAATCACTAGAGTGTTGAACCATTGTATGTCTGTCTTGTCGCACGCGATGGATGTTGGTGCCTTGACTCCGTTCTTGTGGGGATTCGAAGAAAGAGAAAAGTTGATGGAATTCTACGAAAGAGTCTCTGGTGCAAGATTACATAGTGCTTACGTTAGACCAGGTGGTGTATCGCAGGATTTACCAGTCGGTTTATTGGACGACATTTACATGTGGGCCACTCAGTTTGGTGATAGAATCGATGAAACTGAAGAATTGTTAACTGATAACCGTATCTGGCAAGCTAGAACCAAGGACGTCGGTGTTGTTACTGCAGAAGATGCATTGAACTACGGTTTGTCCGGTGTCATGTTGAGAGGTTCCGGTATCCCATACGATATCAGAAAGGCTCAGCCATACGATGCCTACGAGTTGGTTGACTTCGATATCCCAGTTGGTGTCAACGGTGATTGTTACGACCGTTATTTAATAAGAATGTCCGAATTTAGACAATCTTTAAGAATCATTGAACAATGTATTAACGATATGCCAGCTGGTCCTGTTAAAGTGGAAGACTACAAGATTGCCCCACCTCCAAGGTCATTGATGAAGGAAGATATGGAAGCCTTGATCCACCACTTTTTATTATTCACAAAGGGTTTTGCCGTTCCTCAAGGTGAAACTTACACTGCCATTGAAGCACCAAAGGGTGAAATGGCTGTGTACGTTGTCTCCGACGGTTCAGAAAGACCATACAGATGTAAGATCAGAGCTCCAGGTTTCGCCCACTTGGGTGCCTTCGATCACATTTCTAGAGGTAACTTGTTAGCAGATGCTGTGGCTATCATTGGTACTATGGATTTGGTTTTCGGTGAAGTCGATCGTTAGAGACGTTGAGCTTTAGAAAAGGTCTGAACATTTTTAACTAAAAGGAAAATCAAGATAAAAAGTGAAAAAAAGAAAAAAGAAAAAAGGAAGAAGAAACATTTCAAAAATGGAGAAACATACACCATAATAGCAATCCTTATGAGGAATAAGGTTGAAAAGAAACGTCCCTATCTGAAAACGAAAAAAAAAAAAAGAAAGTGGGGTTGTTTCTTTCTCCTTGTCTGTTAGTTTGTTGTATTTCTATGAACCCTTGCGGAGCATTTGCATTTTGTTCATTCGTTGATATAGAATAGACAGATACTTATTTGTATGCATTCAATACAAACAAAGAAATATACAATATTGTATTATAATATAATAAATATGATATTACGTGAAAGTGAATAATATGAATAGTTCATTGTAGATGATAAGCCAGGTGTAATAACCTTTTAAAGCAACGTCCATAGATAGTAAAGGGAACTGCCTGCTCCCAAAAATGCAAAGGCCTTGAAGGCAGTACCGTCGCTCTCTCCACGCTGAGGACCCTGGTACATGTAAGTGGAGTGCTGGTTTTGATTCGAGTTCTGCGATGCAAACGAGTACAGTGATGCTCTACCAGTTGCCCTGTCTTCTTCCGTTCTCTTTGCCTGTCTCATCAAATGTTTGGTTAACAACTCGTCGTCTATTTCAGACAGATCACCCTCTTTGCTTAACTGCTTGATAATCTTTTCTCTATCGCTCTCACTGAGACTCTTGTTCAATATGCGCTGCTCGAACTTCAAATGCTTCGAGAGATGTTCCTTGTAGTTAAAATGGGGCACATCGTACCGGTCCCCGTAGTTCATGTGCCTACCTGAAAATGCTGACGAGTCTTGATACCCTCCGCTGCCCCCATCGCCCTCGTTGAAGTAGACTCGATGTCTTTTCGAGTTGAGTCCAGACGACGAGTATGATCCATTAGCCTTGGAGTAGTACTTCGCTTCTCCGTAGTATTTGTTGTGCCACTCCAGGTTCCTCCTGGCCCGGCTCTGAAAAATTCGTGTCCCACCATCCCCGTTACCACCACTTTGCAACTCCATGTCATACTGCTTCTTCTTTTTAGAGTCCTTGAGCGTGTCATACGCAGACACTATGTTAACAAATTTTTCACTGTTCAATTTCTTCTCTTCATCGCTTAAATGGTTATTTAAGTCTGGATGGTACTTCTTACTGAGCACTTTGAATTGCTTTTTGACTTCTTTGACAGATGCGCCTGGCTGAAGTTCAAGTACTTCGTACTTCGTTATGGAAGACGCTGTCAGGTACGCTCGGAACCCGATTCGGAGTATGTTCTTTGCTATCATGAGCCGGTGTATATACTGGTTTTAGTTGGGCACTAGCGTTTTTATAACATAAATATGGTCTGTATGCGGCCCGCAAACGATGTGACTAAAGAAAAGGCGATCTAAATCAACTACTGCCACTGAAAAGGAGCTTCTTCCTGTCTGTTCACTGCTGCTTGCTCTTTTGGCATCTTGTGATCTAAAAGATTAGGAAGGGTCTCAGCGGCCTGATAGGGCAGTATGCAGTCCTGGTCAGTAGCCCCGGGGTTTCCACCATCACCGCTTTACTGTCCGGGTGCAGACCCGTGACAAGATGGTCTACCTCGCAAGGTCTCATTTTTCAGTGACAATGTCGCACGTTCCGTCATAAATCCGCTAGCATGAAAATTTCTAGCACATTCGCACAGCGTTTTGTCACTAATTTTCAAGTTCGCCACTAAGAGCGCGAACAAATAAGAAAAAATTTATTGGTATTAATAGTGGCTAGATGACAATACAATTTTTTTTTCAAGTTTTTTGTCTTCTTCTTCTCCACATTTAAGACACACCTCATCGGAACATCATCACCATGGCTAGACAAAGAAGATCAGCACCAGTTCAAAGAACTCAAACTAGATCAGCTCATACCGCAGCTGCTCCATCTCACTATGGGCAAGCCCCACCAGCCCGTGCTGCCCAACCAGTCCAAGCTCAATCACATCAAGGACCAGGATTATTCGGGCAAATGGCTTCTACTGCCGCAGGTGTCGCTGTTGGTTCCACCATCGGTCACACTCTTGGTGCTGGTATAACCTCCATGTTCGGAGGAGGGTCCTCCGCTGCTCCAGTGGAACAGCAACAGGTTGCAGCTCCAATTGACCAATCTCAGTACCAACAACAGGCCAGATCCTGTGAAGCCGATGCTTCATCTTTCACCAGATGTTTGACTGAGAACAACGGTAACATGCAAATCTGTGACTTCTACTTGCAACAGTTGAAGGCATGTCAAGAAGCCTCCCGTCACTACTAGGGAGATGAAACGGTATAGAAAAGGTCATCATTTTGTAAATATTTAAATAAATTATTAAGAATAAGAAAATGTACCACCTTGCGATGAGGTGGATCACAGTGGTGTAGAATATCGACTGAGTGGGCCAGGGGCCAGTTCTCGTGCGAAGTTAGGAGGATCACGGGGTAGGGAAGACATCAAAGGAGCTGGGGGATCGTGGCGTGTAGTGAAAGGGAAAGAAAGCAGAGCTAATGTAAGCAGAGTTAGTGTAAGCAGAGCCCGGTGTGGCTGAGCTCTTCTGCTGTAGCACTGTTATCTGGCAGTCTGTGTTCGAAAGTACTCCGACCAGTTCACTTTTATATCATTTATTGTACCTACATACATCTCTATACTTGTTAAATATTACTTCTTTTGTTGATCCTGGTAGTAGCCGTAGCCAAAGTAACCTAAACCGGCGAACCCAATAGGCAACAACCAATTGACACCACCAGATTTGGCTTGGCCGTCCTTCTTCTGGCTCTCTTCATGCTCGGTATGCTCAATGTCGTCCAACACTTGCGATTGGCCCTCGGTGGAGGCAACCTTGTGGTCCACCTCACCCTGGCTCAACACACTTACATCCGGCGAGTTACCCGGGTTTATCGAACTCTGCACATACTTGTCTCTGTTGGCCGGCTTGGACGACAGAGTACCCTTGGCGTTCGGTCTAGAAACATCAATAGGCGCAGATCCCCTGTCTTGCAAGAATTCCGGCTCTGCTCCAACAACCTCACCCCCGTGAAGAACTGTGGACAGGTTAGCCTCCACCTTGATGGAGGTAGCCAACTCCTTGTCGAGCATCTCCTTTTCCACCTTGGCTCTCTTTTCTTGCGCAATGTCCTGCTTGACGGCCTGTTCGGTCACAGGAGGGATCTTTGGCGACGAGGTCTTAGGGACAAAATCGTACTTGAATTCCCATTCATTGATGGACGTTTGTGATGGAAGTTTGTACGAGTCTATAGTGGAGGTGTCATTCTTCGCAAAGGCAACCCCTGTTCTGTGAAGGTGTCTTCTACCAATGGCGGCGGAAGATTTAGCTAATTGTCTGGCCAACATGGTATAGTTGAAATTAAGATGATCTAGTCTAGTTAAAAAGGCTGAAAAACACCCACCAGAAGAAGTACCTCCAAAAGAAGAAGAAGAACAACTGAACGAAATCGAAGTTCCGCCTACCACAAGGGTCAAGGGAAAAATTAGGACTGCACAATGCAAAGCAATGGTCCGTCGGGGCGCTATCAGGGAGTGCTGCGACCATTCGCTGGAAGCTTCTGCAGGAACGCAGTAGTTTGCTGACCGAAATACGGGAAAACCCCGGAAAATGCGGGGGAGCGGGAAAAATAGCGGGTGCTGCAGCGGGTGTTGTTACAGAGAGTGGTGATGAAGAAGACAAGAAGAGATTCATTTTGCGATGTGTGTTCGTGCATTGGTGGTAGGGTAGAGCGTCTTTGTATGTGTTCTCACATTGGTTGTAGGTAGATGGTCTTTTATATGTGCATTGGTTGGTCAGGGTAGTATATTCTTTTGTTGCTCTCTAATTGTTTTACTTCATTCACTACAATGTAGTTAAGTGATGCGCTTTCTGTTCTACTTCTGTCCTACCTATGTTCCACTTCTGTTCTATTCTCACTTTTCTATATTCACTCTACTTCTGTTCCATTTTCACTGATCTACTTTCACTGCTCTACATTCACCAAGCTATTCACTATTTCACCACTCGTTAGCTCGCATTCTCTTTTCTACACTTCCCACATTAGCATTCACTATTATACACTACCACTCTACGTACACTCTAATAATTTTCTATCGTTATTTATCTATAACTTTTCTATATCGTCCCTATAATCTGGTAATGCATCAAGTATATCGTCAAGCAAAAGACTTGGTGGTCTTCTCTTCGGCGTAGTCTCACTTTCTGTTCCTACGCTACCTACTTGCCCCGATGGTAGAGATTCACCGCTATTTATAAAACTGTCAAGTAGTCTTCCTTCAACTATTGATCCCGCGCTGGACATTCCACTATACTCACCTCCATATCCGCTCCCCACTTCTGAGTCTGTCATGGCTCCTCTATGATACATTGGTAACTTGTACTCGAAATTGTTATTCCTACTTTGGTTCATGGCTTCCAAAACGGGGCTAATAAACATCGAGCCTCTTCTGGATTTGTTATCAGCGTTCTTACTGGTGTTAAGATTATTAATAGTGGTACTACTGCCATTGTTCTTGATCGCATTCCTGTATCCTCTTCCTGCACCTCCTGAATCACTGGAACCGTCCGACAGTGACTGAGACAGTACTGCCGCGTTCTTGGAAAGCATATAATAGCTCGATGCTGAGTGAAGCGACATTTTTTCGGATGAAAGATCCAACATAGATGAACAAGATGATCCAAGTCCACTGTGTAAGTACATACTATTCTGAGAAAACTCATATTTTTCACTATCATTTTTAGCTCTTTGCATAGCAGAGACTTTTTTGACACTTCTGATGGCAATGATCACTAGTAATATCAATCCTATGATAGATCCTATTATAACAAAGAGAATATTATTTGGGAGGTCAGTTCTATATAAGTACGGGTCGTATTGCGCGGAGTTCTTGGCCGCGTTAGTTTGAGTGTTCGGTATTTCACTTATAGAGTAATAGTAACTACTAGATACAGATGAAGATGATGATGATGTACTATAAGAACTCATAGTAGTGGATGAGTTCGAAGAATACGTGGGAAGCGAGTCTTCGGTTTCTGTGGTGGAGTCTCCTCTACCGACTAAGTATCCCTCAATCGTTTTGGTAATTATAGCGTGTTCTCTCTTATGCTTGTGGTGATGGCCCCCTACATGAGGCTGTGACGTGGTTGTAATAGTGACAAACGACATATTTGTTCTTGACGATGATTCTGTCTCTTCCTGTTTTACACTACAAAAATCTTATAGGACTTCATTCTCTTTATAAAGGAGTTAAAAACCTTATCCCGACCTTCTATTACATACACAATCCTTACATACAAAGACACGATTCTTTACCCTACTATTATGTACGTTTCTTTCCCTGCACCTGCTTCATGCAAGTCATTTGGCTAATGGCCATACCAGATACTCCTCAGAACGGCTTTAGTCTGTAACACACCTTAAGAATTGCAGCAGCAATCACTGCGAAGGTGAAATCTCTTGGGCTGATTCGCGTTTTGGCTTGTACTTTACGCGTCATCTGTCAACAAATAGAGGGAATGATGCACTAAAAACCTTAAAAATTCGCGTCGCGCCTGCTGAGCACCAGGTGGTACATGAAGTAGAAGAGATTTGTGCGGGAGAGAGAGAAGTTTATTGGCCTTAGTTCAAGCATAAGGAGCAAATGTGGCATATGCTCTACAGATAATCGCATTTTTGTGGTAGCCAGAGCTTGGCAATGTGCAATGGGCTCACGATTGTGGGAGTTATCGATGCACAGCGTAGTACCGCACTACGATTTCGGTCTTTCGGTCCTTCTGCTTGGCACATTCTCCGTTTACTACATTCGTTTACGTTCGTCTACATTTCGTTCTCTAGCATGTCGTTCTCTAGCATATAGTTATTGCATTCCACTTGAATGTATCTTCCGCTAACTATTCTCCAGTTCACTATCTTCTGTTAAGGGGCACACTATTTCTGCCAATGTCCTACCTACATTCCATCGCTGTATGTTGGGTTAATCCCCTACATGGCATCAATTCGCTTACGAGTACGCTCTTCTCTACTTACTTTATTGTTTCCCTTAATATTTAAGCCGTATATACTAAAATCTCCAGTTCTCGTCTGCTGATTCAATGGCCCAATTAAACTTATCCCTCAAAGTCTTGGTGAATAATTTTTCAATTGGCACATCGTATCTCTTAGAAAACATAACAGTCAACCTTGGATCGATATAATTCATCTTGGACGTTCCCAAAGAAACTTCAGAGTTATCTTCCTTATCCTTCAATTGGAATGTGGTGTTGACAATTCTGACTTCAATTTTTTCAATTTGAGCCTTTAATTTTTCAACTGTATCGGTCTTCTTCACTATGGGCTTCTTAGTCTTCAACTCTTCTTTGAACTCTTTAGCCAATTCATCAATCTTACCTAAGTTTTCCAATAAGATAGATTCGGTAAGTATAGGCTGATCTTCAGCCTTTAGCTTATCATTATCTCTAATGAATTTCTTTCGAGCTGCATCCTTTTGTCTTTCGATAATAAGCTCATGAATAACTTGTTCATCCTCTTTCGCCAAATCATTAGTCTCTTCAAAGTACTTTGGATCTTTCTTTTTCAATTTGGGTTCAATTTGAAGAATCATTCTCTTAAGTCGTATCTTTTGCCAAAGCATCTCCTTTAATTTGTCACTAATTTTTTGAACCAGTGATCCATGTCCCTTTGCAACCGTACGCTGATGGTTACATAAGATAGCAACAGTTCTGTTCGCAGCATTGAACTTAACAACCTTCTCTGCAACAGTTCCTTCATTGGGAATCAAATCGATTTGATCTTGCATGGTCTTCGATGCATTATATGTACGGAAAACTTTAGCAGTTAATCCCTTCATATAATTCTGGAATTGTTTGTTAACCATTGGAGGCGAAATTCTATCAAATAAATCGTCACCAGGATGTTTGGGAGGTTTCTTGAAGATTCTTAAATTCTTGAACACTTGCTTCTCAACTTCCACTTCCTGGTAAAATCTAATAGAATCTTTACCCAAGAAATCAAAAATTACCTTATTAGGAGGCTTCAAGGTAATATGTTCATATCTTAAGGAACAACATCCTACAGTATCAGCCTCATCATCACCCTTTTCACCACCAGCTCTCAAGGCAAAGATATCAATTAAGTATGTGGCTGTGGCCAATTGACGGTTCTGCATTAATTCATCTTTCAACAACTTATTGTAATCCTTTCTAATGGCGTGAATATGATTTTTCAATTCTCTTGCAGTTTCAAACTTTTTGAAATCTGAAACCCCTTTGATGGACGAATTGGCCGCAAATCTAACATACTTAAAGGAATCAGCAATGTTTTCCTTCCACATCCCCAACCAGGCAACAGTGCTATCATGTCTGATTTCACCCCATTTATGGCCCTGAGGTGGCTCAGGTATTACCGCATCTTGACTTAAATTTAATGTAACGTCTTCTGGGTATACTCTTCTCTTCAATTTACCTGTCTTAGGGTGAGCACCACGGCCCCTAAATAACCCAGGAGGTTCAATTCTGAAGTTACCAACTTGTTCCTTTCTCCCATTTAACATACACGTTTTGTAAGGCTCTTCAAACTTATCCTTAGCTTCCTTGATCTCTCTCTTTTCATCTTTAGTCAAAGCCTTTTTCTTTTCACGCTCTTGCTCAAAGTACGTATACATCTTGGAGAAGTCACACTTCTCAAAGTCTTTGATGTCTACGTTACACCCACCGCATTCCTTCAACACTTGAAGGAAATCTTCAAAGAAATTCTTTTGGAAAACAGGATTCTTAGCGTGATCAGTTTCCAACATGGCTCCAAAAAATCCTGCAACTTCTTCTGCTTGCGGTGGGAGCTCAACCTGCTTACCATCGTAGTACATCTTGACATGAGAGGGTAAAGGCTCATACTCTGGGGGGAAAATGACCCCGTTGTGGTGCAATGACTCCCATTTTTGTTCACCATCCAAGTCATCTTGCTCCCACCATTTGTAGGTTTCTTCTTCATCAGGATCTGGCGTTGGGGTGACTTCCTTTTTAGCATCTTTCTTGTCAGTCTTCTTCGCAGTCTTCTTCTCCGTCTTCACCTCGGTCTTCTCCTTCTTACCATCTTTCTTTGGAGTTTTCTTATTTTCTGACAAAGCGACGTTCTCTTCAACTTCTTTTTTAACAGTTTTAGTCTTTTTCACACTTTTGGTTCCATTGGATCCAGATTCGTGTTTCCTCTTTGAGCCTGACTTCTCGTCTTTAGCGCTCAGCTTTGACTTGGGCTTTGACTTGGACTTTGGCTTCGAACTTTTGGAGGAACCATCTGCTCCCACTGGAGTGGACGCACTATTGTTCAATTGACTCAACGGAATAGAATCTGCCAACGGACTTTTACGTCTTCTTGCGACTTCGGAGAGCGAGATTTCTTCTTCATCTGAACTCATCTTGCATAAAATTAAAGAGCTTGAAAAATGCCTATTCACCTATGTTAATGTATGTAATATTCCCCAATTACGGAACGTTCTATAGTCTATGAAGCGTTTTTTTATATGATTAGATGGTCTCTCGCCAGTCTATTATCTATCAACGAATTTTGCAACCTAGAGCGCCAACAGTGGAATGGACTTGCCGAATGCTACAGTGAAAAACGGTGTACCAGAGAAAAGCAAACCGAATATTTTTACGTGTCGTCTTTTGAGCCCGCCACGTACAAATTTCTCTAGGGCTGCGAGGGAGAAGAGGTGAGAGGGTAAGAGAATGGCTCAAATTTTTTCGACCTAAAATGAGTGAGCAGGTAGAAAAGAGATGGCTGGGCTCGAACCTGCAAGAAGTGTAAGAAGTATGCGAAGAACGGTGCCAGGAATAGCTTCTGGTCTTATCTTCTACTGTTCACACGCTTGGTGGACCACCCATCGGACGGTCCTGCATGCCATTACGCTTTATTTCGCCCTGTGCGGCTCAAAGTCACTGTGCAAATTGAACGAGACGGAGTGCGAGGGAAGCACCGAAGTTTCTAAGAGGAACAATCCTAAAGAGAAACACTCCTGGTGAAATGCCAGCTTCTTGCTCGTATCAGCAAAACCGGATACACAGAAGTACACTAAACTTCACTACTGGGAAGTTACTCCTACTGACTACATATAAGAAGTCTTCTAATATATATGTTCCTCTTCCAATTACTCATCCTTGTCGCTGTCTCTCTTTTAGCTCTAACTTTTCAAATTTCAAGACAAAAATAAACTATCTTTCGGTTAAGGCATATCAGTGACTTTAAGCCTGGACTATTTTCATTTTCGAAACAGCTTTAACCATTTTCGGCCATTGCTGCACACCTCCTTTCCTGCAAGGATTGTAAATTAGCATTCTGATGCGAGTTTTTCCCCTTTTCAGTTTACAAATTAAAAATTATACCTTTGCTCCTTCAGCTTGGATATACTTGATGGTGCTACAATTCTTGAATTGCCTAATTGGAAAATTTCGCAACAACAATCTCGAGCACTATGAACTGGTACACATCCTAGGGTTAGATGCAGGGATGCGGCACTCTACATACCTAATTTAGACCAGCTGTATGCCGGCCTGCATATCTTTAACGTCAAAACTTCTTAATTTGAATTGTTTGTAAATAATGAAAAGATCACCAATGCAGCAAATTGTAAATACAACGAAAAAAAAAAAAAACCAAAGAATGAACAAAGCCATACATAAGCACTTCGAATCCATTGACAAAAAAGGGACCCACCCCATTCTTAATTTAGTTTGATTACTTATAGAGATTATATATATTTGATTCATTTCAAAAAGAAAAGAAAAAAGAAAAAGACAAGAAAGACTTCCTCCCTATCTTTCAGTTCTTTGCCCTCTTCTCCTAAACGCTCTGCACCTTGATTACATACATTTGCATTTGTTGCAATATAAACCGGAAAAAACTTTACCATCGTCAGTACATAATTTTTTTGGTATTTGCATTTGTAACATTTTCGCACCCAAATAGAGTATAGAACAAAATAATAATAATAATAATAAAAAGAGGAAACTTCAGATTACTCTTTTCGAATTAACCATAATATTCGAATAAATTTTTTGCATTTCTCCTTAACAGCAAAAAGGAGGAAAAGAAAAATTCAGAAAACTTCAACAAACAGGCTACTTTCCTTTCGTTTTAGTCAACTGGTTCATTTTTCACATTAACAAGGTGTCAGCTCGATAGATATTTCCACTTGGGCTCTGCGAAGAAAACTAGAAAGCTTAAATCTCATCTATACCCAGAAATAAAGAAAAATATCCCAGCTATGTCTGCTCGCTCTCAACCGTTCCATTCCATACAACCGTTGCAACCGCTCAACAGTGGGCAATTGAACGCTAGGGTTAACAACATCACTCCGGTCAAGCCATTGAGAAACTATAAAGAGAACCAGTATGATTTGAAACAGTCTACTGACGGTGGGAAACTTTCCAGTGCCACTGCTTCTGGAGTCAATGCCCCAATTGTCTCACAACCACAACAGCAGAAAAAGAAGAAGGAAAAACTTTCCACCTTGTGCAAGACTCCTCCATCGATTGTCAGAACAAGAACCGGTAGAGACTACAGGAGAGGCACATTCTTGGGTGAAGGTGGATTTGCCAGATGTTTTCAAATGAAGGATTCTCTGGGAAAGATATACGCCGCCAAGACTGTTGCCAAAGCATCGATCAAGAATGAAAAGACAAAGACAAAGTTGTTATCGGAAATCAAGATTCATAAGTCTTTGAAGCACGCAAATATTGTCAATTTTGTGGACTGCTTTGAAGATGATGTCAACGTCTACATTCTATTGGAAATTTGTCCTAACCAGTCGTTAATGGAGTTGTTGAAGACCAGAAAAAGAGTATCTGAACCCGAAGTCAGGTTCTTCATGGTTCAGATAGTCGGAGCCATTAAATATTTACATTCAAGAAGAGTTTTACATAGAGATTTAAAATTAGGAAACATCTTCTTTGACCCACAGATGAATTTGAAGATTGGTGACTTCGGTTTAGCATCAGTGTTACCATCTGGGAACGATTCAAGAAAATACACCATTTGTGGTACTCCTAACTATATTGCTCCTGAGGTGTTGGGCGGCAAATCGGTTGGACACAGTTTTGAAGTTGATATTTGGGCCATTGGTATCATGATGTATGCACTTTTAATTGGAAAGCCACCTTTCCAAGCTAAAGATGTACAAGTTATCTACGAAAGGATCAAGAAAACTGAATACCTGTTCCCAATTGATAAACCAATATCATATGAAGCCAAGACTTTAATTCAAGATTTGTTAAGTTTAAACCCATTGCATAGGCCAACAATTGATGAAATCTTACAATACGATTGGTTCAAGGGTCCCTTCCCAGATAAGACATTAGAGGTCAGCTTGAATTTAACTCCTGGTGGGTTAGATCAAATTTCTAAGGCACAATCTGCAATTAATTTCACCAATACCAAAGCCAGTGCTGGAATTTATACGCCAAAGACTAAGAACCCTGTTGAAATATTAAGACTGGATTTGCATAGCGAGCAACCCAAAACATTGTTGCCACAATCTTTATCGCCTGGTGACACTAAGGATAAATACCAAGAAGTCGAACCTATAGGAAGCACTGGCAGACAGAGTAAGAAGATCAATTTCAATTCAACCTATTCGACAACGATCAAGAGATTGAATCAAATTTGCTTTGAAACTTATCAGAATATGAGAAGATTGGAATACTCCAAGCATGAAATGTTGGATACAATGGAATTACCCCTGTGTGAAAATCCTACATTAATCAGTAAATGGGTTGATTATTCTAATAAGTATGGATTTTCCTATCAATTGAACACAGACGATATCGGTGTGTTGTTTAATGATGAGAATACCATATTGAAACTTCATAACTCTGATAAATTCTTAGAATTGATTTACCATGAAAACGAGGGTTGGACTTGCATCGAGAATTCATTATTGCATCCGCCTTTACAAAGCAAAAAGCAATTAGAAATCGTTGACTTTTTTGCCAAATACATGAATAGCAATTTATCTAAAGTCAGTGATAATGAAGATAGAAAGGAAACTGTCTTCTTGAGGAGATACACCAGAACCTCGGAGTTCATCATGTTTGAAATGACGAACGGAAACTTTCAATTCAATTTTAAAGATCATCATAAAATATGTATCAGTAAAGGGGGATTGGCAATTACACACATTTCACCATCGAGAATGATACAAACTCACCCATTAATATTTATCTTAAAGCAGGGCAACTTCCCATCTATAGAAGTACCTGAATGTTTGGAAAAGATTGCCATAATAAAAGATGCAATCAAGAAGAAGGCATTCAAAGAGTAAATTAGGATAGAAAAAAAAAAAGAAAAGCAACAAAAGAGTAGCTCATTTTAGAATATCTAGATAACTCTTATAGGTTAAGTCCATTCAAGGTACCTTGCATTTTATAATACGTCATGTCAAAAGTAACTGAAGATGTGTAGATAATAAGTAAAATAAACGGCTAAGAAATTATCTAGGCTATAGAAGGCATTTACACTTATTGAATGTAATATAATATTGTTTTTGTGCTGTTCTTTTTGTCTATAATATACAGAAGGGAGCCAAACGACATAATTATCTACCCTTTTACGAGGACTACGTATTCCTCTTTTAGTTTAACTTGCTACTTGATACGCTTCCCAGTCATTTTGGTATATTCCTGCATATACCATACTATACCTGTGATGCTTAATATTCGTTATCATTACTGTTCAACAAAGACTTAAGAGCCCATTCGTCTTTGAATTTGGTCTTGATGATATCTAATTCGGATATTAACGAGGAGCAAGCATTTTTCAAGGCTTCCTTTGGCGAATAATCATCCTCAGTCTGAATTCTGAGCACAAAGTTTGCGAAAAGCGGATGCTCAACTTTATAGGCAGCGAACAACACTCTTTCATCTTTGAGTAATTGAGCACGCAACATATTGGCTAACGTATGGTCCTCTCTCTCTATTTTAATTAATGCAGCGTTTGGTACTTTGGTATCAGGGGTGATTTGGATTCTAGAGGACAGTTAGTATGTAGAATAGAAAATAAGGAGAGTGTGTATGAGAGAGAACTAGCACTTAACAAACGAGCCAGCTTCAAAGCGGGATGTTGATTAACACTAGAGTTCAAGTTAAACTGGCAACCTCACTGCCAGCTTTTCTTTGATTCCTTTTTTCAATTTTCATCTACTTACTTTTCAACACCATCCGGTAAAATGAAAAGTTCAAATCTAAATGGGGCATTCATAGTGGCGTAGGAGTGATTACTGGTAGTATATTGTGTCTGAGCTTAAGTTGGTAAGCATTTTTTACCTTTGAAATTTTTTAATGTTGGTGATATGTTACACAAAACACATATTATATACTGCACATACGGGTCAGGTGCGATCTCTCACGAGTTGGTGCGTTTTGCTCTTTTAGTGAGTTTGAAAAACACGGCAATATTACACAAAGCCGGCATTGCGAGAGACCAGACGAGCTCTGCAATGAGCTACAAAGGCTAGCAACATGGCACAGTGACATCAGGCCCCAGCGCCTTTCAGAAAGCTCTGAGGAGTGTTGTGAACACACACACACATACCCAGACACATAAATATATACATGTGACGTTCTAGAGCACTGATTGCTAGCCTGGCAACCAATTTTCTCCTAAATAGAAGAAATGCTTATTGTTCCAGGGTCTCTTCATATTTTTCAGTGCCACTTTATCTCTCGTATTTCCCCAAGTTCACACGTTCTACAGTGTATTATGCCTATGTCTATCTACCTGCCACCCTTACCCAGGTTCATTGCTTCTACGTCTTTCTTTCAGATAGATCCTATACAGTACTACACCAGTATCTCCTCCGCCTGCTCCTCCCCCTAATCTATTCTCCCTCCTCCCTTGACTTCCCTTCCTTCCCCCTAGCCACTCCTTGCTCGCTCGACTGCACCCTGCCTATTCGCATTTTACCTTTTCCCTATAGCCACACCCTCTTAACCCCATCTTGTCCTGTACCTACTCTCTCCAACAAGCTACTCTACATGCACACCTTTACCCGGACACGCGAACCTCTCGCTTCCCAATGGTGCTGATTCTTTGTTTCGAAATGTCTTCGTGCTTTCCTAAAAATTAGATTAGCTGTAGTTACTTCCAGGTAGTCTTTAGTGTTCCAGAATTGACACAGTCTTAACGAAAGTGTTCTCTTACAGTATTTGGGATTTTTGTGTGACTAGCAATCCAATTTGAGCTTTTTTCGACCTTTCACTTTGCTTTTGTTTTCCTGATTTGCAGTACTCTTGGAGTTTCCAGACTATCTCTGTTATCAGACACCAAAAGGAAAAAAAAAGTGCAAGAAAACGAAGAAGTTGTACTACAACATAAAAACATTAAATACCCAGGACAGCAAGAGGCTAGACACTTCAACCGAGGGTTCCTATAGAAGCATTATAACAGATTTAATTCTTGCTTTATAGAGCCTTATTCATTCGATATTTTCGCTTGCCTTTTTTTCACCTGTTTTTTCTCTTCCGTCTCTAATCGGAACGTTCGACACCAACTATAGCTATGACCAGTTCACAGGACCACTGGAATTCGTCCCAGCATCCGCTCGGGCCATCCTTCAAGTATGTCTAGAAAGAATCAGGGCTGAAACAGGGGAGACGACGGGGGTAGTGTCCACTCTCACTCATCCACTTGGACTACAGCCGGTCCATCACCTCCACCCCTTTTTCACCACTTCAATATTTTTTTTTTTTTTTCAATTCACCTTTTACTAACAAAGCAGCCGCCAACAGGGTCACCCACCCGTATTGCCACCACCTGCGAACCTCGAAGCAGGCCCGCAGACGTTCTACACCTTGCCTAACCTTCCAAGCTTGGGCAATGGCGTTGGACACTCTCCACCAGGCCACACATTCACCATTCCATCTATCAACTCCAACGCTGAGTCTGTACAAGTAAGTATCACTATGAACCGATTCTGAAATAAAATGGATTGAATATTTATACTAACATCTTTAGCCCCCTGCAGAGCATGCCAGACGTCCGTCCGAGGTATCCCACAATGGCCAGTCACAGCCATTGCCACCTCCATCGACCATAGCTGCTGAGCAACAACAGCTGCAACAACAACAGCAACAGCAACAGCAACAACAGCAATCTCGACCACAACCACAACCACAGTCTCAAGCACAGGTTTCCGCTGTTGCCCCACCATCTCTCCCTCAAGGTGTTCCAAATCGCTCAACATCTACAAGTGTCTACAGGCCGCTTAATGTTAGAGATGCGTTATCCTACTTGGAGCAAGTGAAAGTGCAGTTCTTCCAACAAGCTGATGTCTACAACAATTTCTTGGATATAATGAAAGAATTCAAAACTCAAAGGTATGTATTATCGGTTTAGGCTCACACTGAGCAAGATACCCCACCATATTCCACGGTGATTGGGGTGCTACTACTTCCTCTCTTAAATCGGCATTACCTACTCGGTCAAAACCATTTTGTTTGAGCCCTGGCGTTAATTCCGAAATGAAAAATAACTCGGTTATGTGCAGGATCACAACTCCCTTCTTCTTTCTCTTTAGCATTCTCTTACTAACATCAATAGTATTGATACACCAGGAGTTATTGATCGTGTTTCTACGTTATTCCGTGGGCATCCAAGTTTAATACAAGGGTTTAATACTTTCTTGCCGCCCGGTTACAGAATTGAGTGCTCATTAGACCCCTCTGATCCTAACCCGATCCGTGTGACCACCCCTACCGGTACCACTACTAGACCAAATATTAATGCAAATTATGAACAAAGATGGGGCAGCGCGTCTGCACAAGGCGAATCTCAGCAACAGCAGCAACAGCAACAGCAACAGCAACAGCAACAGCAACAGCAACAGGTTGCGCAAGAACAAAGCCAACAGCAGCAATTTCCGCCTCAAATTGTTCAATTCAGGCAACAACAGCAGCTTGAAGAGCAACAGCAGCAGCAACAACAACAGCAGCAAGATCAAAATGGTGGACAAATTGAATTCAATCATGCAATTTCCTACGTGAATAAGATAAAGACTAGATTTGCCAACCAGCCTGATATCTACAAGCAATTCTTGGAGATCTTGCAGACCTATCAAAGAGAACAAAAGCCTATTGGAGAAGTATATGAACAGGTAACTGTATTGTTTGCGAATTCCCCAGACTTATTAGATGACTTCAAACAGTTTCTCCCAGACACTAGAACCCAAGGATACGTTGAGGAAGGTGCTGGATCTGCTGCTGCCGCCGCCGCTGCTGCTGCCGCTAGAAGTGCAAACGGTGCTTACTATGGCCCAGGAAGCCAGTTGCCTCCAGTTGGTAATTTCCAACCTCCTATTGGCACTAATAGTATCAACCCATACGGAGCTCCAGGGCAATATCATCAAGGATATCCAATAGTCCCAGGGATTACAAGTGAGCAAGCAGCACATGAGCAGCAACACCAATTTCACCATCACCAACAGCAACAACAACAACAGCAGCAACAGTACCAGCAGCAACAACAATATCAGCAACAGCAACAACATCTTCAGCAACAACATCTTCAACAGCAACTGCATGCTCAACACCAAGCTCAAGAGAATCAGCAACATGTAAAACAACAAGAGCAGCAAGGTCTCGTTAAAGAACGTAAATCTATTTCTGAAACCTCCGCATATGAGAATGCTAATGTGCCGGCCGCTACTGGTAATGCTGGCGACTATTCCGGAATTCTTTCATCAGTTCAACCTGTTACTAAGAAGGCTGGAACTCCAAGTAAAGGGACCTCTGCTATTACCAATCCAACCTTGGTTCCTGGAGTTCCAGAACCAGTACCTCCTTCTGCAACTGCGAAGTCTTCATCATTACAAGAGGAAATTGGGTTCTTTGATAAAGTTAAGAAGGCTATTGGAAACAAACAAACCTACAACGAATTCTTAAAAATTTTGAATCTCTTTTCGCAGGATATTATTGATAAGGAAACTTTGGTTCAAAGAGTAGAAGTTTTCATTGGTGATGGCCACCCAGAATTAATCCAATGGTTTAAATTATTTGTTGGATATGAACCTAAACCTCAACATATTGAAAATATCACGTTCAAGAAGCACCAATTAGAATTATCTTTGTGCAAGGCTTATGGTCCATCCTATAGACAATTGCCAAAGTCTGAAACCTATATGCCATGTTCAGGAAGAGATGAAATGTGTTGGGAGGTTTTGAATGATGAATGGGTTGGACATCCTACATGGGCATCCGAAGACTCTGGATTCATTGCTCACAGAAAAAATCAATATGAAGAAATCTTGTTCAAAATTGAAGAAGAAAGGCACGAATTCGATTATTATATGGAAAGTAACTTAAGAACCATTCAAACATTGGAGACAATTGCAAATAGAATTGCAAATATGACACCTGAACAGAAAGTGTCCTTCAAGTTGCCACCAGGTTTGGGCCATAATTCGTCCACAATCTATAAGAAGGTTATCAGGAAAATTTATGATAAGGATCGTGGATATGAAGTTATTGATGCCTTGCATGAAAATCCTGCTATTGCTGTACCGATTGTACTTAAGAGATTGAAGCAAAAGGATGAAGAATGGAAGAGATCACACAGAGAATGGAATAAGGTGTGGAGGGAAATGGAACAGAAAGTTTTCTACAAGTCATTAGACCATTTGGGTTTAACCTTTAAACAAGCTGATAAGAAGTTATTAACCGCTAAGCAATTAGTAAGCGAAATAAGCACAGTGAAAGTTGAGCAGCAAAATAAAAGATTGCACCCTTTGACTCCTAAGCCACAAGAACAATTGAATTATGAATTCACTGATAGTGATATCTTAGTTGATATATTAAAGTTAACTGAAGTCTTCATTAATCGTTCCTCAAATTATTCTGCTAATGATAGAGAAAAATTATGCCAGTTTTTTAAGTACTTCTTATCATTGTTCTTTGGTATTTCTAATGATACAATAGAGAATGGTTTAGCAATTAGATCAAAGGAGAGCAAGGAATCTGAGGGTGAAGTCTCACCTGCTGATAAGAAAATTGATGCTTCTAATGGCTCATCAAAGAAACGTAGTAGAGATACTGATTTGTTGAAGGATGTTCTTAAGAAACAATCGAAGACCAGAAAAGATGAAGCAGTTGAGTCTCCTCAGCAAAGTGAATCAGATGAACAAGAATATTCTCAAGAAGTAGAAAAATCTGGAGAATTATGGATAAAGACCACATCAAAGAAGTACTCTTTGAATGGATCTTCATCTAACTCTTCGACATCATCTACTCCTTCCAGAGATGATGAAGAATCAAGAAGGAGTAAGTACTATTTGTTCTGCAATACTACTATTTACGTATTCTTCCGTCATTTAAGAACTTTATACGAAAGACTTTATGAAGTTAAAAGTATGAACGAAGAGGTTGGGAAAGAAATAAGGTCAAGAAAGGTAGTTCAATTTGCAAAGGATTTGAACTTGATTTCCCATCAATTGGAGGATTTAAATATTCAAATTGTGGGATCAAAGAACTGCTACCATCAGGTTTTGGATTTATCGGAAAAGTTAATTGAAGGAGATTTAGAGCACCAGTGGTTTGAAGAGACTGTACGTCAAGGCTACAGAAACAAGGCTTACAAAATTTACACCATTGATAAGGTCGTACAATCAATTGCAAAGCATATGCACTCTATGATTTCAGATAGTAAAACTTCAGATATGATGGTCCTTTTTGAGAATGACCGCTCTAAGCCTCAATCAACTGCTAAGGATCAAATTTTATATCGTATGCAAGTTAGATCATTAATGTCAAATGACGAAAATATGTTTAAAATTACCTTGGATGAAGCCGATAACACAGTCAATGTGCAATTCGTCAGCCTTGATGATTTAACAATCAATGATCAAAAGAATTCAGAAGAAGACTATAATTATTACGTGACTAGTTACGTAATGTCTCATCCAACTGAAGGAATACAAGCATCTAAGATCAATATGCCTTTCTTGAAATCATTCATTGAGAGTATTGATGAAGATCAATTTGAAGGATATGTTAACCCAGGGTTGAAAGTATCTATATGTGAAAACTCTTACAGATTATTCTTCGATGCTAATACTCATGATGAATTTACTTCGAACTTTGTTTACCAAAAGCAGCCTGAAGAAAAATCGTCTAGGTCTGATAAATTAACTGCCTTGAAAGCTTTAATCAATGATGATGAAGAACATGGGTGGAAGAAGACATTGGATGAAGGCGATAATGGTGGCAGTTTGGAAGAACGTGTCAACATTTTACTCTCTGAAGGAGCTGAAGCTTTCTTCGAGAAAACTAAGCAAGATGATGCTAAAATGGCAATTGCTGAATCTGAAGCAATTCAAGAAGCTACCACTGAAATTCAAGAAGACGATACAATGGAAGCTGATGAAGAGCTGAAAAAGGATGATGTGAATGTGGACGAAACAGTTGACAAGAAAGACGCGACAATCGAATCTCAAGTTTCTCCACAAATCGATGAAGAAAAGACAGAAAATCAGGACGAAGAATCGCCTTCTATAAGTTTTGAAGCTGAAAATAAGCCTGCTGATATCGTATCGAGCTCAATTTCAGAAGATAAAGTCAAGCAAGAAGGTGAGATTGCTCCGAAAGAACAATCTCCTGAAGCTGCAGCAGTAGCTGAATCTGATATTAAAGCTGATGTTACAGTTGACGCTGATCAAACTGTCATTCAAAATCAAAACGACACTACAATTCAACAAGAGTTCAATGATACTACTGATGAAGTTACCATCAACAATGATACGACTGTATTTGAAGACGCAAATAGTACCACCAATCAAGCTTAATGTTGGACAGTACTTAATGACCCTAGGAGAAAATTTGGATAATGCAAAATAAAAAAAAAATGAGGTGAAGTGATTGCTTTACAAAAAATCCTGTATTTTTATATATAAATATTTCAATAAATTGTAATTTAAACCAATATTAAAATCCAATTGTAAGAATGAATCTATTAAACAAAATTTAAAGTTAACGTTTTAAAGCACCCTCTGCTGCAGCTCTGGCCAACCTCTCAGTGGAGATACTATGTGCCAATCTCTCTCTCTGTTCAAGTCTTCTCGCCACAAAACCCTTTTCTCCCTTAATAAGCAAAACTCTAAGGATTACATCTTCAGCTGCTGTTTGAGTAGATATTGGATCTAAGTTAGCCTCCTGGACTTCCTGGACTGCCTTAGCCCTAGCTTTCGCTGTTGCGTTAGCACCTATGGTGTTGCTACGAACCAATGTTCCAGCTCTACCTAAACTTCCTCTACGTTTTGGCAGTTTATCTTTATTTTGAAAATTGTCAAAGTTATTTCTATCTCTCAAAGATTGAATAAAGGCAGGTGATAACCTTTCAACTTCTTGGGTCAAAAACTCCACATCTCCATCGTAGTAAACTGGTAAAAGTAATAATGTTTGATACTGTAAATTCTTCAAATCTTTAACAGATGGTCCATTCCCACCGTTATGGAAAAAATCTAGGCATAAAAAGTTGAGCCATGAAAAAACTGTTTCAAGTTCAGGGTTTGTCAACAGCTTTCCGAAGCCACTAATCCCTATACTATTTCCTACATTGACCATAGCCGTTGTCAATGAAGATTGCCATCCAGTACTACTACCATTGCTACCTCCCGCATTCAAAAGGTTCACACTAGAAGGTGTGAGTTTCGAACCAAATGAGGATAAATTGAATGTTTTTGCACTTGTAAGCTTGGGAAGAAGAAGTCCATCCGCACTTGCAATTACTACTAACCAAGCAGCGATCATAACTTTCATAAGTAATTCATTCGTCAAGTACTGAGCTAAAGTTTCTAAGTTCAGATTCAAGTAATTGTATAAGGGCATCATAGCCTGGTCCATTTGATCCTGTGTCGGTTTGATATTTCCGTTACTCCCACAAATCGATTTTAAATTACTTCTTGAGAAGCAATAGTGAATGAATCTAGAAAACTTTTGAACGATTAACTTAATGCACCTTTCTTGTGATCTCTTGAGAGATCTGTGAGCTCTTCCCATGGCAAATATTGCGTCCGCACGCTCACTTTCTACTGCAACTTCCAACAATACCCTTCCTTGAGTATCTAAATCAAGGTATATTTCCTGGGGTATACCATCATGCTTGAAATTTCTGGGATCTAGCTGTAAAAGTGCTCTTCCACATATTGAGTGTGTTCCAAACTTAGGCTGATCCCAAACTGTCGAAGAAATCGTTAATGACGTGTTTGCAGGAATTGTAATTTCAAATTCTTCATCCCATTCAGGATTATCTGAATTATGAACAACTCCAGTTTTTGCGATAGTCTTTCTCAACTTGGTATCAATTAAGGTAATATAAGGGTGCAAGTTAGATGATGATGATGACAGTTTAATATTCTCAGCTTTTACTATTCTAACTGAAAATACATGACTGGTGAATTTCTTATTGACAGTAGGATCATAGGCCATAACCGTTTTTGAAATCGATTCAGGGTCTAAATGGTCTTCTAGTTTGGTCATTTGCTCCATCATCGCTGAAAGGTTATTCAAAGCAATACAAGTTTCAGGTTTGAAATTGTAAGGTTCTTCATTTTCAAACTTGGTGCTTTGGCCGCTTTGAATGTTTGAAACCACATTTTTGACCTCATCAAACCATCCTCCACCACTTTTACGCTTTTCAATATCAGTTTGGGGAACATCCAACGTATTACCAGTAGTACCGTTTTTTTCCCTTCTACTCTCCTCTTCATCTAATTCCTTGATAATTTTATCAGTAATCCTTGATGCATACGCTAGGACCCCTTCTGAGATACTTTTCAAGAGATTTGTATAAATTTTTGCAGCTTGGAATTCATTAGACCAATTCAAATTTTTCAAGATTTTCAAATACTCTCTAACTAGAACAAATATATCTAAGACGGATGATGAGAATTTCTTGGAATCGTTGTCTATGTCAATTGGCTTGAAGTCATCTCTTGAAATAGCTTCAGTAATAATGGACCTAATCTTATCTCCACTTTCAGATACCCATTCTTCCAAGAATGGGTAAAAAAAATCTTCTAAATCAAATTTAAACTCATTTCCAGAACCTACTTTACCGCCGCTGGACGATTTGCCATTTGAATATGAAACTTGGTTGAAAATATCCCTAATCTGGAATAGTGATTTGTAAGCTTCAATCGCATCTCCGTAAGGTAACGGCTCATTCTTCTGCTTGGAGTATGCACTGATATGCTTTAAAATATTTCTGGAATCAGAAGCAAACATCCCCGTTATTACAGCTGCAGAAGTTCGAGGAACATTCAAGAATCCTAATAAAGGGTTTTTATATCTTTTTTGAAGTGCCCTGATATCCTCAACGATGCTATCAGATATGTTTAAAATATGTACAATATTGAGGGTATCATCTCTGGGCAAATTTGCCAATAAATCGGCATATTTGGCTTCACTAACCCTAAGCAAGGTTTTAGACAACTTCTTTTCCCACTTTTTTACTATCCCAGTTTCTTCAACCCTATTGAAAAGTGAATCAGATTCGATATAGTCTCCTAAAAATTGAAGATAGGGGCCGAATTTGGGTTTAACGTGTTTATTAAAAATCAACCCAAGTGATTCCTTTATACCTAAAAGAGCCTCATTATAACTGATTAACAAGTTTTTTGTCCAAAGCTCTTGGTCCTTCATTGACCATGAAAATTTATCATCCCAGTCAAGTTTGCCCAAATCTTCAATAACCCTTTTACAAAAATGCAAAACAGTACCTGTCATCGATAAGTCTATAAGTCCCAAATTATCCTTTAAAATACCAGTAGCATGTGCGGCAGTGTACAATGATGTCGCTCTTGTTGGAAAGTCTATGCGCCAGAATTTCGAACAATGGCTAATTAATGCTAGTACATGCTTTGAAAAGAGCCTTGAAGAATCGGATTCCAGAAGACCAGAGCGTGAGCTGTCCTCGTTGGAAATTACTTGCTTTTCTTGTTTCTCATATTCTATGCATTTCTTTAATAGAACAACAAAATATGATCTACTCAATTGAGTTGTTGGTAAAATATAGAAATCTTCGCCTGAAGGCAAAAGAGGAGTCGGTAATAATTTCACAGCTGCTGGGATTTGATACTTGTTGAGTAGCTGTGAGCATAATGACTCTTCTCTTGCTTTCCAATCTTCATAAAATTGAGGTTCTAAAAACAGTCTAGCAGTCAATTGACCCAAATCCTTACTCAAATAAAACTGAATCTGTTGAACATCTTTATGGAGCGTTTTTTCCTGTGCCAAGTCTTTCACCTTAAATACGTCTTGCTGTATTTTGATTTTATCTACATTGAAGATCTTGGAAACTAAGTTAATCATCGCCTGCTCCATATCTGCAACTCTAAAGGAAGGCTGTGGATACTTAAGACTTGCGGTTGCTGTGGATGTTGTCTTAGAAGCAGAACTTGCAATTGGACCTGCCTTTGGCTTTAAAGATTCTTTATATTCTTTCAATTTGGTAACAATTTGCTCACCATTTCTATCCTGACGCACTAAACTGATTAAGATTTGAACAAACACACCTGTCTGTTTGAAGACATGACTGCTGATTTCATTGCTGGGCACAGATCCAATCTTGACCAATTCTTTATCAGCAGAGGATACAAACTTCATGACCAAATATTCAGGTTTATTAACCCTCTTCACTTCTTCTTTGAATTTAGGATCCAAAACTTCACTATAGAATCTCAAGAGTGATCTTCTTGTCATTTCGTCTATGTTTTGATCTGATTTCTTCAAGGCAATCAAGTTCAATCGTTTCTCAAGTGATGCAATAAGGTGACTTGGTAATGAAACATCTTCGTTTTGCTTATTCTTTCCAGATGAAGAGGCTGAAGTTGAAAGCATACTTGAAGAGTTACTAGCCTCCAGATTAGACGAAACAGGCGACTTTTCTCGGATTGGAGTTCTGAATCTTGCTTCATTCCGATATTCAAGGATCAATATCTTCAACACTGCTTCATAGAGTTTATTCACATCAACATTATCGTAATTTGCATCTTCTACCGTTAACAATGACGAGGAAGCAATACTTTGCGTTCTGCTATCCCCCATATTAACAAGATTTGCGGCTTTCTTCCTATTAGTACTCTTCTAACTACCTGGTCTCTAATGGAATTTCTTCTTTCCGTGTTTTGTTTTTCTCTCGTATCACTCTACTCTGAAGGAATCAAACAGTATTATATAAGCTAAGCTATGTAAAGAAATAAAGAGGTGCAAGTGAGTCTTAATCGACTTGTATACCGCACAGCGAATTTTAATCTCAACTATATCGATTTGATACTAAACTTTGATTTTAAAATTCGGGTTTCTATGTTTTCAAGGTTTTCCCGTTTAGGTTGATTTTGTATATTTTTTTTTTTTTTTCTATTATTATTTTTTGAAAGACGTCATTAGTTCAGGCTAGGTAAGGCTTAAGCCTTAGCGAGATATTGCATAGTAATGCAATGCATAAATAGATCAAAAGGGAATTGAAAGAGCTACATTAAGATCTCACGATGAATATTATACAATGATGATGTTACATACGTAAATATGTTACTGGAATTGGTCTACGTTTAAGCTTCTTTTATGTTACACATTGTCTTCATTTTTTTTTTTTGTTTTGCTTTTGCTGTGATTCTTATTATGCCTCACTTTCCTCACTAGAAGAATCTACGTCTTCAGCCTTAACAACGTCAGCTAAATTGTCATCTTCTTCCTCGTCGTCGTCGTCATCATCTTCTTCTTCTTCATCGTCTTCGTCGTCCTCGTCATTGATACGTTCGTCCGATTTCACCTTTGAGGGAGGTTTCACACTTTTCCCAGAATACAGTTTCTTAATTGCTTCTGGGTCTTCTTTCCCATCTTCCAAGGGAAATATGTGCTTCGATAAGATCTTATTCATCTCGAATGCTCCAACGGTTTTCTTTTTGAAAAGCCTCTGTAGTTTTTCGTCACATATGATTATTCTTTTATCGCTCGGATTCTGTAGATCTCTTCCCTTTATGTATTCCCAGAGAATCTTTACCACCTGTGGTCTTGATTTCTGAGTCGCCTGCACTACATCAGCCAATTCACTGGATAATCCCATAACCTTATTGAAGGGATTGTTCGTCCTTGGAGGTTTATCTGATACCTTTTTCGGTTTCTTTACTTTACTAGTAGTGGTTTTATTCTTAGCACTTGATCTCGTCAATGGAGAGTTATATGGAGTTTTCAGTAACCGTGCGGCCATGATCGCATCTTGAGCTTCAATTTCAGCTTTTCGCTCCTTCAACGATCGTTGTTCATTCTTTCTCTGGTCCAAGAGCAGGTAGTACCTCTCCATTATTATTTCATTCACATTTTGCTGTCTGTTAGTTAAGAGTTGAAAAAAAGTAAAAAAAAATGAAATTTTTTGGAAAATTCAACTACGCTTAAAACCATATATGCTGATAATCATCAACAAACACTCCGATATCACATTTCCACAACAATACATGAACCACTTATTATCAGTCTGCGCCATCTTATACATACCTTATGAGGATTTAAATTCACGCCGAACAATTCTTGCAATGCATTTCGAATTTTTTTAACCGTTATCTTCTCCAAGTCCGCTACACTCAATATTGCCTACCCTTAAGTTAGTAAAATTTATTCAACGCCGTCACTACCTATTCCAACCTTTCTCAATATTGACTCCAAACAGAGAGAACTAGGTCGAACACACATCCTCTTTACATACGTCTATCGTTGGAAGATATTCATGAGGCCTATATTCCTCACTACTCATCCTTCTTTGCACTTTATATATTCATATATCAGAAATCAGTTACAATTGTTCACAATAAATCGTTCTTTTCCTTTCTTAGTTCGGTGTGTTTTTATTTTATTAATTTATTTTGTGGAATTTTTGGTTTTTTGCATCAAAAATTTCTTACCAAACCTAAAACGGTGATGATTAAGAGCCTGCAACCCCTTACGAAAACGGGAATGAGAAAAAAAAAAAAAAAAAAAAAAAAACACAAGAAAAATGCCGAAAAAAAGTTATACATTTAAAAAAAAAAGAAGAGTTTATTGTGCCGGGGAGGTAAAAAAAAAAACCAAC